TGCACGATTGTGGTTGAACGAGTGGGTAACAACTGATCGTACATGGAGTAATTTTAAAAAGGAATTTAGGCCATTGTGTCCGAAAACACCTGATATCGCGGGTATTTTAGCGGAGGTAATTAACACGAACTCCGATAAGTACACTACTTATGCGGACTACGCACGCCGTTCCTTACTCCGCTTACGTATAGTACGTGGGTTGAGTGACGAACTGATTTCGGCTATAATCATACGCGGTATTACTGATCCTAATATTCGTGCGGCGGCAACAAATGCCAAACTGCTACCAAACGATTTAGTTGAATTTTTCTCGATTTATGTTAAGCCGGTGAACAATTCGAAGAGTTCTATGTCGCGTTCGGTTCCGTATAATAGAACCAAAGATAAACAGAGCTTTGACGTTGCTAGACGACGTAGTAGTGATATAAAGTGTTACTTGTGCGGACAGTTGGGGCATAGGCAGGCTTCGTGCACTAAACGACCTAGAGTTGATAGAGGCTCGAGCAGTTCTGCAGCCACTTCTAATTCCGCGACTCCGAAGCCCGCTTTTGTGCCGACTAGATACGAACCGTGCTCGTTTTGTAAGAAACCAGGTCATAAAGAGGACACTTGTTTCGCCAAACAACGGTCCGATGTAGCAAGCAAAGATACAGTTAATTTTTGTAATTTGTTGGTGACTGCTAACAATAGCGACGTAGTGGTAGCCGTTGTTCAGGACATCCCTGTAGATGTCCTTATTGATAGCGGTTCAACTGTATCGCTGATTGCTTCCTCTTTGCTGAAATATTTTAACTGTCCGCGAAAGCCAGGTCTTCGAATTTTGAAGGGTTTAGGTAGTCAGGAAGTGGAGAGTACCTCCTATGTTACTTTGCCGATTGAATTCGATGGTTTAACTCTCGAAGTAGATTTGTTCGTCGTGTCATCCGAATACATGAACGTCCCGGTTATAGTAGGTACGGACGTCTTAAATAGAGACGGTGTTAAGTACGTTCGCACTAAGGGTCGTCAGTCACTAACTAGGGTTAATAATTGTTTAGATCAAGTAATGACGATTCAGTCTAAAGCTATTTCAATTAATACACCTCTCGTTGGTATTGAGTTACAAAGGCTGCTACAAATAGTTAATGACTTTTCAACATTTTTTATTTCCGGTACTGCTACTTCGACAGTAAATACAGGGTGTATGTCGATTAAATTAAATTCCAGTACCCCAGTTTACTACCGTCCGTACCGTCTTTCACATGCCGAGACGCTTCGTGTTCGTGAAATAATTAAAGAACTGTTGGACAAAGGCATAATTGAGGAATCTGAGTCGGAGTACGCAAGCCCTATCCTTCTTGTCAAAAAGAAAGACGGGACGGATAGGATGTGTGTAGACTTTCGTAAGCTCAATGATATTACGGTTAAAGATCGGTTTCCATTACCGCGGATTGATGACCATATAGACCGCTTAGGACACAATAGGTACTTTAGTAGTCTAGACATGGCTACTGGATTTCATCAGATTCCACTGGACCAGGACTCGGTGCCGCTAACTGGATTTGTCACGCCAGAGGGACATTATCAATATTTGAAAATGCCTTATGGTTTGGCAAATGCTCCGGTAGTTTTACCAGCGAATCATCACTAAAACACTTCGCGAGTTCATTGAATCTGGCGATATTCTTGTTTACATTGACGACGTCCTTATTTTAAGTAGGACCGTGGATCAGGGTCTAGTTCTGCTCCGCAAAGTTTTGAGTGCATTAACTAGAGCCGGTTTTTCAATAAATTTGAAGAAGTGTTCTTTCTTATCAACTCAGATCGAATACTTAGGGCGTACAATTTGCGAAGGTCAGGTTAGGCCGAGTCACGAAAAAGTTAGAGCTTTGGTTGACACACCTGAACCGCAGAATGTTAAGCAGGTTCGTCAGTTCATGGGTTTAGCCAGCTATTTTAGACGTTACATAGCTGACTTTGCCCAGAAAACTGCTTGTATTGCCGCGTTAACTAAACAGGGTGTGAACTTTAACTGGGGATTAGAACAACAAGCTGCTCGAAAGTACATTGTTGAATGTCTGACGAGTGAGCCAGTGCTTGCTATATATGATCCTTCATTGCCAATAGAGGTCCATACGGACGCGAGCTCTATTGGTTATGGAGCTGTTTTATTACAAGTACACGAAGGTAATCGTAAGCGAGTGGTATCTTACTTTAGCAGACTTACACAGGGAGCTGAAGGTAAATACCATTCGTATGAACTGGAGACGCTGGCTGTAGTTAAGGCTCTCCAGTATTTTAGGCATTATCTTGTGGGTTTACGCTTTACTGTGGTTACCGACTGCAATGCGTTGAAACTTACCCAGCGTAAGAGAGACTTATTGCCTAGGGTGGCCCGGTGGTGGGTGTACCTCCAAGACTTTGATTTTGTCTTACAATATCGCAAAGGTACCCTTTTGTCCCATGCCGACTATCTTAGTCGAAACCCAGTTAACATGGTTACCATTCAAAAACCTCTGAATTGGGCTCAGATTGCTCAGGCTTCTGATGAAGAGACCCGGTCCCTTATTCAGAAATTATCAGATAGACAATTGGATCCTTCTCGCTACGAAGTTAGGAACGATGTACTTTACTTCAAGTATACACCTACTGGTGAAAATCCTAAAATGTTGTGCTTTATCCCTAAAGGCCACAGACTCAGCCTTTTACGTATATTCCACGATGAACATGAGCATCCTGGGGTAGAGAAGACAGTGGATCTTATTATGAAACACTTTTGGTTTCCGGGGTTGAGAGCTTTTGTTTCCAAGTACATAACGCATTGTTTGGTGTGCCTCTCATACAAGAAAGTTGCCCGCGCTCCCCTACAGCCCATTCATTCCTGGGAGAAACCAGACGTGCCCCTTGATACGATTCACATGGATGTACTAGGTCCATTGCCTGAAGCTGACGGTTATCGTTATGTTCTCATCGTTATCGATGCATTTTCAAAGTTTTGTCTATTGTACCCAATGTATCGACAAGATACTGACGAGTTAAAGCGACATTTCACCAACTTCATTTCCCTTTTCGGAACACCCAAGCTAGTCGTAGCTGACAGAGGCCGAATGTTCCAATGTACCGACTTTATCAATTGGGTCAAAGACATGGGTGGTGACACGCACCTGATCACGCCTGAAATGCATCAATCCAACGGGCAGGTGGAACGTTACTGTCGCACGGTGCTCAATATGGTGCGCATAGAGTGCAATTATCGACAGCGGAAGTGGCCGCATGTGATGTGGAAGTTGCAGTTGATCCTCAATATCACTAAGCATAGTACAACTCAGAATTCAGCCCTAAGCTTGTTGATTGGTATTGATGCTGCAACACCACTCATCCGGAGTCTGGTCCGTGACGTCGCTGTTGAGGGTTCCAGCCCGAACAGGGAAGCCCTACGTGAAATGCGTCGCCAGAGAGCATCTGAATTACTGCGTTCGAATCAAGAGCGTCAAGATGCATACGTTAACCAAGGTCGTAAGCCGCCTCGTACTTTTGAAGTCAACTCATTGGTTTTTGTTAGAAAACAGGCACAATCGACTGGGAAGCTGGATTCCTGTATGCGAGGGCCCTACCGTGTGGTGAAAGTTCTTCCCCACGGTCGTTATGAGCTTCAGCTCGTGGCCGGCTCGTACGGGAAATCAACGCAAGCGGCTGCGGAATACATGATTCTGTGGCAAGGAGAGTGGACTCCCGATGTGTGCTCTGCTATGTTTAATGGTGGGTTAATTCATTCATTTTGGCATTTAGTTAATTCATTTTTATTTGAGATTTTGTGGACATGTCTATGCCGGGACCTCTGTCTACTGTTACGTTTAATTTGTAACTTTTTCTGTTTTTTTTTTGTGAAAGTTTTTTTTTTAGGGTTGTTGTGCTTTGTTTGTGTGCTCGGACACTGTCTTGGAGTTGCTCAGACATGTGGTCCTGGAGCTGTGTACACGCAGGGTCATGCCACGAGTTGGCCTCTGACGAGTCGTGGTGTGTGTGGCATATGTCTGCGGGGCAGACATTGTCCGTGGTTTTATTTTTGTTAGTTTGAGTTGAAACATGTTTTTATGGGTACCGATTCACACATGCAAAGTTATGTCTCATGTAAGTCCGCATAGACCTCTATCGAGTCATGAGGGTGCACTCCCCCGACGGGAACTGCCCCGGGTGATTGGTACTTATATTTGTATGTTTTATATCCGCTGTGTTTAGACTGTTCTATTTTGTCAGTTTAGCTTACAAGTACATAAAGTTGGATGATAACCTTTTGCGCTGACTAACAATTTTCTAACTTGGATAATTTCCTTTTGTGAATTTATTCTGTGTTGTTATTTCGTTTTGTGCAGATGCAGAGGACGAGGAGTCGACAGCTCCTAGCGTTACCCAGCCTTACAATGTTGACGTTCCTAGTGACGCGAGTGAGCCGCAACCTAGTACGTCAGGGACGCAGATACATGGCGAAGAGCCTGCTGCGTCACCCACCTTCACGTCGAGCGATGACAGCACAGAGCCTTCGATGCCAATGCTGGAGACTAATCTCCAGAGTTAGAAGATGGAGGAGTCCGAGGGCGGTCTCCCGTCAGGAAAGGCCGTGTAGAAGTTGAAAGATAGGAGAGTGAGGAAAACGTATAAAAGGCAGCGCCAGCGCCCGGCGCTCGCTTTTGCTGTTCGGCTGTCATCGGGTCAACATCTCGGCAACGTCATTCTGTCCGTCAGGTTTTTCGTTAGATTGTTACGTAATTGTTGTAATTGTTTTAGAGGTCTTACATTTTTAGTTTTCGTTTCATTTAATTTTGGTTTGTTAAAATTAATTGTTTTCAAAGTAAATTTGATTTGTAAATTGTTTTCTTGAGGGTAGTAATAAATTTGTATTAGAAAAAATAACTTCTGGTCTTATTTCTAAGAATACACATACATACAATAATACATAACTTTTGACGTAATCTAGTTCTAAATAAACTTATGAGGAAGCTAAAATATTATAATATACATTAAAGCAATAATACTTGCTTACGTTTTTGATTCGCTCGTTTGATTTCTTCTTTAGCGAATATATCTTCTATAGACGTTGATATCTCTTCAGGAAAAATGTTTGAAGATTCTTCTTTCTAACGATTAAATAAACATACAATTATTAGATTATATAGTTAGTTCAAGAATCAGCTTAATATAGTAGGGGAGCCCAAGAGGGGATTTTCTGTAGTTACTCGAGCGCGGCAGATTAACATAAAAGAGGTTACCTTGCACTCTATTGAGTACTTTCACTATAATATAAGTCTTCTATATAAAGGGGCGCGTCTAGGGAAGCCGATTAAAATATTTAAAAAATGTTTTGATAAGGTAGAAATACTTGAAACACAGTGCAAGGCAACCTCTTTTATGTTAATCTGCCGCGCTCGAGTAACTACAGAAAATCCCCTCTTGGGCTCCCCTACTAATACTATAAATGCAAACTTTATGAGTGAGCGTATTTCTTGAAATTGTCTTACTGACGGATACAAATAAAAGCTTAGATTGTGGCAGCTTATATTTTGATTTACAAAATAGATTTTTGAAGTACCTAACTACAAATAGAAATTTTGACAAAACGATTGATATTATTGATTGATTATAAAATAACTGTTTCATAAGTTTGACGATACGTTTGGCTCAGTGTGTAGTGACCCTAGACTCGAACCAGCGGCCGCGGGTTCGAGTCCCGCTGGAGTTTTTACAAATGTGTTAGTACAAAGAAGTTACAATTTCAATCGTTCAACAATTCGTTCTAACGAACCATTTTTCACGTTAAAAAATCTTTTGATCGATTAATAAAAAAAAATATCTATGTGAATTTGTTACAAATTGTTAAAAATTTCTATAGTTCTATATAACTTTAAAATTCTTAACATGTCTTCTTTCAATCTGATAGTTTTAGCTACTTTTATAATATGAAATGAAATATTTTGGTTATTTTACTAGCTTTTTTCCGCGACTATGCAATTAAAAACAAATCTATCTATCTATTTATATATATATATATATATATATATATATATATATATATATATATATACATATATTACACTATCCTCTCCAAATTTGCCATTTGATAATATAACATTTATTGGTTCGTAGGGTTCTTGAACAATATTTCAAAAGCAGATTTACCTTCAGTGTTTGCGATTCAGAAAATATAAGCAAAAAACGGTCCTTTTCAGCTAAATCTAAATCGCATTTGTAGGATTTATTACTCGTTCGGATAAAGGGACTTAGTAAGTATGGCCGAGACATAAAGGTAAGTGAATAAACATGTCGAGCTCTTATGAGTTTGTTGGAGTGACGCAGAGCGGTCCTTAGAGGCTTGTAAACAAAATTTTTATTATATAATAAACTAGCAACTCACTCTCGCTTCGCTGTGGTTCATCCCTAGGTAAGTTTTAACGGTTAGTGTGGAACGGATAGACTACATATTAGGATGATGATGATGATGTTCTCAAGTGCACTCTCTATTCCTGTCACTCTCATACTCCGGTGGGACGACCACTCGACACGACCAGTGAGAGTTAAGGCGCAGGACCGACGGCTTTACGTGCTCTCCGAGGTACGGGGGTGAAACACCGCCAACTTCTCAACTCCGGGCTGTTACTGAGACTTACTATACAGAAAGTCTCAATAACTAAACTTGGCCCGATCCGGGACTCGAACCCAGGACCTCCGAGTGTGCAGCCGTACATGCTAGCCACTACACCACCGAGGCAGTCACTACGTATTATACATACATAACAAGCTGTTTCTGGGCTAACCCTATTTTTGTATACTTAAACCACCCCTGACACATCCCTAATAAAATAACAAAAAGAATTATTCAAATCGGTTTAGCCGTCTTTTAGTTTTAGCGAGACAAACGAACGGCAATCGATTTTTATATATATGGATTATTTCTAAAGCTTCTAGAAAGTCAATCTTTAGTAGTATTGTCAATGTGAAAGTATGTTGGTTTATCATTTTTTTTCCTTATTTTTTTTTCTTCATACAATTAAGTATATTAAATAAAAAAAATGCCATTATAGTAGGTACTTTTATTTTTGTATGTGAATTATATGTTATTTATTTAATAAACGATCTTAGGCGCCTATTTCTTATCTTATATATAAAATTTCCATGTCACAATGTTTGTTACCGTACTCCTCCGAAACGGCTTTACCGATTTTTACCAAATTTTATATGCGTATTCAGTAGGTCTGAGAATCGGCTACTATCTATTTTCCATACCCCTAAGTGATAAGGATAAGGGTGGTCCCCCCAGACCCCATCCCAGGGACGAACCCGAGCGGAGCGAGGGTGAGTCGCTAGTAATAATATATTTTTAGCTCAATGTTAATATTATAAAAGTGGTTAAAAATGAAAACGGTTTTAATAATATTAAGCTTTAGCAAAATGACGGCGAGCTTTTTATAAAGATTATGAAAATATAATATTTTATCAGTTAATCCCAAGATAAGCTACTTACTGCTATAAATGGATTTATATTTGTGTATTTATATTAAGTCATAAATAAATAATAATATTACGAGTACTAATATTTAAATGCGAAAGTCTGTACGTGTGTTTGTGACTTCTTCTAGATATAATTGCACAATGGGTTTCAATGACTTTCAGAACGGTGATAGTTTAGAATAACGTATAATCTACATTTTATCTGTTTGAGCCACAAGAGAAAAATAGTTTAATCCGTACTAATTTTATATATAAATATAATAAAAACTCTGTCTTAGATTTACGCGAATATTTGACAATTTAAATAAAACTATCTTTTCGGATTATTTCGCGGATTTATTTTGATTTTTGGTTCATTTTGTTAATTGTGGGTAGGCTGTCTGTAACAACTATACCTTCAAGACATGTAACACCTCAGTCTCTCCCGTGACCACGTTTGCTGTAAAGCATTCGAAACGTCGGGAACCAAAAATCCAAATAAATCCGCGAAAAAAATCCGAAAATATAGTTTTATTTAAAAAACTCTGTCTTTTACCTTTTCACGCATAGACTGCTGAGCAGATTTTGATAAAATTTGGCAAGGACATAGATTGCGTCCTGAGACGGGCAAAGGTTACCTTTGACCACCGCTTTACTACCACACGAGCGAAGCTACGGGCAAAACTAGTATTATATAATTAGTTTACTTACTTGTATCATTTTAAAAGTAACAAAGGAGTCTGTATGTTCATCTCCTCCGATCGGAAACTCTATTGTAACTTCCACTCCCTATAGAATAAAGTCAAAGTAAATAACATTAAAAATATAGTCAATACAAGTATTATATTTGTACTGTATTATAATAATTTATACTAATTGCATATCGCACTGATGGCCCAGTGGTAACGTTTCGCTTGAGAATCCAAATCACGCGGGTTCAAATCCTTCCTTCTCTTTTGTTCCACTTCTGTTGTTTTAATGTGCGATAATTTCCAACATGATTACCACTTATCTTATATGGTGAACGAAAAAGTCAGTTTGCCAACCAGCACTTGGCCAGCGTGGTGGACTATGGCGTGATTTCCCTCGAATTGATGGGAGGCCAGTGCCCAGCAGTGGGACGGTAAAAAAAGGCTGAATACATAAATAATAAATATAATACGTACAGTTATGGCAGTATCAATGAGTAAGTAGAGAGGGTGTGCCTGCGCGACGTGCGCGCGACAAACAAACATTTTACGGCAGCACACTTGCTTCGCTTCTAGCAGGACCTGGATAATGAATGAATGAATGAATGAAATAAACTTTATTCTATTAGACTTATTATAAGTGCTTTTGAAACATAATAAAGTAAATAATAAATGAAACGAATTTTAGTTAACCCGTTTTGTAAAATTTATAATCCCATTAATATTATAAATGCGAAAGTTTGGATGGATGGATGTTTGTTACTCAATTACGCCAGAACGGCTGAACAGATCTGAATGAAAATTGGCACAGATATAGTTAAATATACTTTTTATCCCAGAAAAATGTATGGTTCCTTTGGGTTTTTTTTTTAATATGATGATATTAATTTTAGTATTTATATTAACAATTATTTCTCGTAGGTTTGCGCTACGTAAGTCGATCTAATGCAAAGTAGGTTTTACACAAAATAATCACGAATCTTTGGTTCTGACATTTATTATACTGTCACTAGCAGAACCTGCTGCTATGCCCGCGTTCAATCTATAAAAAATAAACTCTTTGGCTTGACGTTATACAGCGACTCACTCTCGCTTCGCTCGAATTCATCGCTATGCATTCTTATAATATTGTTCATACAAAAATACTAAAATTGCGGTGGGGGTAGGAGGGTGAAAAATACCTTATCTATTCTCATACCTGCCAAATATACAAGAAAAAAATTATTAAATGCGACCATAAACACCGTAACACAAGATTTATATATATTAGATTTTACGCATAGTGCAAGATTGATAAATTGATATTTTCGTTAATAGATTGGAGTGATTGGATTAAAAACTAAAGTAATTTACTGGTCATTTGTATGTTTTATTTCAGTAAATTGCTGTGGAGATAATTTTATTCGTACAAAAGCCTCTCCCGTATTGAATATACGTAAAGCTTTATCTATAATAAATATCAGACACAAATTTATGCCATGAATATTTTTCGCAAAATTTGTGTATGGTAATTTTAGAGATAAGAAGCATAGATTAGAGGTTGGCATTTTTCCTACGTTTCAATTTTCGTATGTTTTTCTTGGATGCTACATAGATTCAATGATTTTTTTTTACTGTATCGATGTTTTAACTTATGAAAACAGTATTTGACGTGAAACGTGTTTAAAATCACACCGAAATATACGGGTACCAGCTCAGAAAAGTAGACCGTAATGAAATAGGTTGCATACGAGATATATAGATTGAATTAGATTGCTATAGTAACCGTTGTTATTGTTTGAACAATGATATACTTATAAAAAATATTATGTAATTTCAATATGTCGGCCTCAGCTCGTGCTGTAGCCTGTAGATAGACGTTTCAAGTTAAACCAACGCGACCGGCGACGGCTCCATCTGTTTTTTCTCCTCAATTATTGCCCTAAAAACGCTTTAAGTTTTTTTTACATTTTGTAAAGCTTTGTTATATATAATCACACATATGTAAATGCTTCATTACGAAATCACATTTTTTTACTTATGCGTCTAAAACTTGAGAGCTTTTGACTCAAAATCACTGTCTAACATAGAATATATTAATGGAGTAGGAGATGTCACACATCGTGAATGTTACTGGCGTTTATTATATCGTAGACTAAAGTTTTACCATGATATTAGCTTCGGTAAAGCCTTCCACATCGAATTCATTAGGGAGAAATGTAACTTTCAGCGCGTCGTCTTCTAAAACGAAATAAACCTTAAATTAAAATCTGTTTTACATGATAGTAAAAAAACAGAGATTTTTTACTCTACTCTTACTTTACTTGTTACATCCAGGACTTTTTAAATATCTTTTCAGATTTTCTCCGCAAAAAAAATAGTTTTATTTAAAATGTCAAATATTAGCGTAAATCTAAGAAAGTATTAAGCATCCAGAATTACAATAAATTTAAAGCTTAAAAATATTTCATAACGATCAATTCGAGCATTCGTATCGTGCATCTTTACCCCTCTTATCTACTCAGAAAATCAATAACAACGTCTCAAAATTGCACAAATCTATACAAACTGTTTTAAAATTATATGCTGTTTGCATGTAGCTTATGCGTTTCTGGTCCAATTGCGATCAAAATTTGATGAGTTACACCATAAAAATTTCTCACTTAGTATAACAAAGTATAATGTAGGTGATGTGCAAATTATACCGGATAATATATACTAATATTATAAATAGGTAAAGTTTGTGAGTTTGTGACGTTTTAGGGGGTAATCTATGGATCTACTGAACCGATTTAGATTAAATTTGTTAAAACAGTGAGAATTTTGAATTTATGCATAGTATATGTATGTTGTGTATGTGTGTGTTTAACTTCAGATGGAGGTAAAGCCAGTAAAGTAGTGAATGATATGATGAATGGTCACCAACCGCACTGCCCCCACACTACACGCGTGCTTATCGGAGTGATGTTCCATACGCGTAGCCTACAGCAAGCTCGGGCGCCGCGTCGTAGAGACAAGGGACGAAGCACAGCCATGCCTTTGCCCACTCCCACGCTATGGGCGCCCACGTCCAGCATACACCCTGAGCCTAGTAATTAAATTACTTAAAGTACAATTTTTATTATTAATAATTAAAAAAATATATATTGAGCATCATTATGTTTTTTTTTTAAATTTTAGAAGGTATAAATTACAAATAATATCGTTTTATGTACATTTTATGTGTAGATTTTTTATTACAGCTATTTATTATAAGTTTTATATATCACAGAATGATGACAGATAAAATTAAGCTTTCTTCAATTTAGTAATATATAAAATAGGGTTTATAGTGGGACTTATGTGCATATATAAGTAGACACATATTTTAACGCCTTCACGTTGAAACAACGGGACAGATTTAGATAAAATTTAGTACATAGATAAACAATTATCTGGAGGAACACATAGAACGAACCCAAACGAACCGAGGGTAAGTTGGTACAACATATTATTATACAAAACTAGCGAAAAACAAAAACAAATCTATCCCACGGGAACCATACATTTTTCCGGAATCAAAAGTTAACTATGTGCTATTCTAGACTATAATCTATCTTTGTGCCAAATTTCATCACGATCCGTTTAGCTGTTCTGGCGTGATTGAGTAACAAACATCCAAACATCTATCTAAACTTTCACATTTATAATATTAGTAAGATACGGTTTATAATAAGTAATAACATATTAAAATAATATTATACATATATTTATAGTAAGAATTAGCTAACATTCCCCCTTCTTGTCTTCACCGCAAGGTACAACGCGAAGAGCAAGGCGCGGTGCCAGCACTCTATACGCGACTAGTGCTGCGCTTTCTGTTGTGTTTCTCTGTTTTATTTCTTCTCCTTTCTCCTCTGTAGTCACTTCGATTAAGGTGGCATAACAACCTTCGACCTTTGAATAAAGAAGGTAACTGATTTTACGACAAGAAGATGTGACTAAAGAAGAATGAAATATATATGAAAATGATATATGTTGAAATATGTTTGTTTGCTCTTTACTTTAAAATTTAAAATGTTTAGAAATAAAAATCAACAAATATTGTAAGGTACATTTTTGCAAGTTTTTCAATTTTTGAAATCATTTTTGTAAAATAGTACGTAGGCACTGTCTGTAACAAGTATGTGTTTGAGACGTCTATAGCCTTAGTCTCTCCCGTGACCATGATTGCAGTAAAGCATTCGAAAAGTCGGGAACCAAAAATCAAAATAAATCCGCGAAAAAATCCGACAAGATAGTTTTATTTAAGATTTATTTTTTGTACGAAGACAGATAGAGAGCTGAATGGGTACTTTATACATTTTATGGAGTTGGTACTTTTTACCAGAAGAAAACGTACCATTCGAAGGAAAAACGTTATGGTAAATTTCATACACAGAAAATTTTAATTAATATGATTTTCTACATAGATATTTGGAAGACTCGTAAGTAAAACAGGTAAGTTTTTTTTAACACAAGTAAGGTACGATATATCATTAATTTAACATACAACATCACTCACATCAGGTGCAGTAACGCTATACCGAAGTAGAGCATCGTGCGCGTGCGCCACCTCGCCGGCCGCGGGACGCAGCGCGGCGCAGCGACAGTCGCGGCGCGCGCACGTGCTGCAGCCGCGGCCGGGGCAGGCGGCCGCGCGCTCGCGCCATGGGTGGCACGTGGCGTGCCATGTCATCTGAACAAATAATAGATATTTGAATAGATTTAACAAATTATTGTACTTAGCGGTTTAGATGCCTTATAGCTTATGTGTTAATTTGTGTTATATACTGTGCATTAATTTTCAATTAAATCCAGACCGCTTCACAATGAAGGAGTAATAAACATACATATAAAATAATTATAATACTTTCTTAAAGTCCTTTTTTATTACTAACTATCGGCTCACCTTCGCTTCGCTCAGGTTCGCTTCTAGAAAAACTAAAAAATCCCACGGGAACCGTACATTTTTTGGGATAAAAAGTCCATGTGTTATTCTGATGTATGAGCTATATTATTGTAAAATTTCATCAAAATTCATTCAGTAGTTTTTGGGTGAAAGAGTAACAAACATACATCCATACTCACAAAGTTTCACATTTATAATATTAGTATAGAATATACTTATGTCTATTCAAGATTATGTTTCAGGGATGGAACCAATTAAATTTAAAAAAAGATAAACTACCAAGAGAATAGAGGGGTTTTGATTTAAAGTTAACATTTAATGAAAACAAATTTATATAAACCTACAAAAACAAAGTAGAATTAGGGCTGTTTTTTATCTTCAGACCAAATTCATCAACCAACAAAATAATCTGTCTAAATTTGAAGGGATTAACTAAACTATCAATTTATGGCAACACTTTTTTTTGAAAATTATTTCAGTAGCCATTTTACTTTTTTTTATTTTACATATGTTAATTTTTGTTTGTTTTAAAACAAAAGTATCTTTTCGGGACAGACTCTTGTGACCGTGATTGCTGTAAATCCGCGAAAATTCCGAAAAGATAGTTTTATTTAAAATGTCAAATATTCGCGTAAATCTAAGAAAGTATTACATATAAATGTATGTATATTTTCTTATTACACAACATCCTCTTACATCTTGATAAGTATTGTTATATATAGCAAGATCAGCGCAGACGGCGGCGGTGGGAGGACACGTGCGGAGAAGCATGGTAACAGGTGCTAGGGTGAGACCACGTGGCCTGTACGTATACTCTATTACAGTGGATGCACTCCACTCACCTCCCATACTAGTAAACCTGTTGAGATTAATAAAATTATTATTAACGCTTAATATGAAACAGATGGACTATATATTAGTATATAGTATATATACATAGGTATATTGAGTTTTATATACCTTACTTGAGAAATGATTGATTCCCCATACAAACTTTCATCCCTCTTTTCACCCCCTTAACGGATGATTTCCGAGATAAAAACTATACTATATCCTTTCCAGGATCTCTAAATTTATCAAATTTCATCTAAATCGGTTCAGTCGATTTTTAGTTTATCCAAAACAAAAGAAAACAACAATTTTCTCTTTATAATATGAAGAAAATATTAGTTGTATATAATAGGATGGGTGATAGAGAGTTGTTTGATAGATATTGTAGAGTGATAGATTGTATTTTGATTTTATGAATAATACTCGTAATAAGGACAAATACAAGAGTCAGTAGCAATACTTGGGACTTGTTCCTCGAAATGTGGATCTGCAGTCAGATACGCTAACCGCGAGACAATGAGGCAGTTCTTACGAATGGTAATATTATGTATATAGAAATGAGTACGAAATACAGAAAACAAGGAAAAGAAAATTACTAAGTCACTTGTTAGTATGTTGTTTTATGTTATATATTACTATAGTTTTAGATAATTTAATAAATCTATTTAGTCATGCTATTCTTTATAGTAATGTCTGAAATAGATGGAAACGGAAGTAAAATTGCTCATCTTAATATTATGTATTGTAAAAAATTGTATGGCGTACGTACATTAATACTAATATTATAAATGCTAAAGTAACAAAGTTCTTTCTGTCTGTTTGTATGTCTATGTGTTACCTTTTCACGCTTAATCCGCTCGCGCTGATCCGATTTATATAAAATGTATGGTATGGAGATAGTTTGAGACCTTGGGAAGGACATAGGATAGTTTTTATCTCGGAAATCATTAAATAATAACTTTAAGGGGGTGAAAAGTGGGCTGAAAGCTTATATGGGGAATCAATCATTTTTTAAAGTAGGTACTTAACAACTTTTTTATACCTATGCACATATAGTCTATCTATTACATACTAACCGTTAAAAGGTGGGACGAACTCGAACGAAGCCTGGTGATGCTCTAGTTTCAATATAAAATTGGACGACGCTAACAAAAACATATAGTTATACTTACGTAATTACTTCTGTTACTGGTTTATTAGTTATTTGTAGTGGCAAAACAACAGTCGTGGTGACAGGTCTTCCTGGGATAAGTCTTAGTGGTTCTTTTTGTGAAACTCTTCTAACATCGACAGCAGTCACACCGTACAGCTGCGTCACACGTAGCGGTATCGTCACTGAGTTAACCCTATTAAAATTATATAGTTTATCAATTTAGTTATATCTTTACAGTGTTATGAATAAGAATAAATAAATATAGATATATTTTTATATATAACAAAGACAATTATCACAATATAAGACTTATCTAATTGATTATAATTGGACCCAGTTATGCAAAAAACAGCCATGTGCGTAAAAGAACCAACAGAGTTATAAGCATATTATTATAAAAAAAAATAATTATAATTTTTTTTTTTTAATTTTTCAATTTGAAAATAACCAGAAAAACAAAACAACCCAAGTGCAACTATCGACAGAAAAATGCTTATAACTCTGTTGGTACTCATAATACTTTCTTAGATTTACGCGAATACTTGACTGTTGGTACTTTTACGCACATGGCTGTTTTTTGCATAACTGGGTCCAATTATAAGCGATGGTTGCTTTTTTCCAGAAAGGTGAAAAAGGTGCATCTCTGGCATCTCTCCCTCACTGCATGAAGCACAATAGTGCGGTACGCATATGGATCTAATATAGACCATCTAAGAGTACGAGTTCCTTATGTCAACATAAAGTCAAAAAGGGGCCGATTTTTGTATTTCTTTACATACCCACATTGCCTTGTGAAAGGAAGGTTTCGAAAATTAATTGAAAGAAATATTCGATCATTCACCTTTTAGAACAAAATAGTCTTATGAATGGTGGGTCCACAGTGAAGCGCAAGGGGACCACCACCCACCGCACTTCTACCTGCGCGCACACCAGGGAGCACACCTCGCGCGACCAGCTCTAGACGATAGTGGAGTTATATTTTTAAACTATCTACTCGTTAATGTACTAAGACATAAGTTTCTTTTGGCTCTCGTTTAGCGCCATCTTATGGCATTTTTTATGGATAGTAGCTTATGTGTTACTCCAGATCTCTGTATATCTGTGTACTGAATTATCATTAAAATCTACCAAGCCAATTTTCAGAGTGATAAACTGATACAAACTTTTGCATTTATATGTAATTGTGATTTTGTCTGTATGGTTATAATATTAAGTGAGAAAAATGAACTTAAGCCGTTATTCAACTATATCTTGTTTGTAACTTGTATACTTTTGATATAAAAATCTTTCACATCAAATTCTAAAATTTTTAATAAATTCAATATAGTTAAGTCCATAAAACTACATAATGAATTTTGAAACGATTAATAGATTTTCTATAAATAGATAAAAACTTGTTAATATAATTTTATTACCGCACTAATTCCAGGTATAGCCTCTTCTTGTACTGTGCAAGAATCCACAATGATGGGGTCATAGTCACTCGGAAGACTGTCTTGTGGCACATTTTTCAGAATTAACCTGTTTGAAATAAACAAACTGGTACAAATATGCTGATACTAAATACATGTACACAGATAACATAGAAAAGGCCTATTTAGTCTTATTATGTGATATGATGCCTCCGTCAAACTAGTAATCAAAATCAGTTAAATTCATTTTTGGTGTCCCACAGCCTTAATGTAAAGATGAAACCCTTATAAATTCATCTTATACTTAAATCTCCGTCTGCCCTTATGCTATACTCATTTTACTCTGTGACTATTGGACCTATACATACATACATAATTATAACAGAACAAATCTATCCCTCGAGAACAATTTAAAAGAAGAAATTTATTTCTTTATCTTATAACATTAAATGAGTATTTTTTGTATATATATTTAGATAAAAAAAAATTCGTGTATCTACCTCTGAAACGGGTCTAACAATTTATATCAATTTTTGTATTAAGATAAGGTTTTGCTTTTTAAGTTTATCTATATAGGTGTCTTTCAGAAAAATCGCAATTTTTTACAAAAAAAAAAAAAAACAAAAAACCACCAAGTAAAACTTGGCCGCCCAGGTATTTGACCAAGTACTTAGCTATTGAATCAACTGACCACTTTTGTACAATGAAATATTAACATTAATACAGCTCTCTGCGTCCCAAGCTCAGAGCCGCAGTCCGCAGCACGTACACTCTGCGGGTTGCTGGTGCGTGGTAATAGAATACCATGGAATTCTTCCACTGAAACAGGAAACCCGTCTAGTTGTTCTTTCTGAAATTTTAAGATAATTCACCATAAGTGTGTAAAGGATATCACTAAAAAATGTGAAAATGGGTCAGAATCGCGTTAAGTTCGGTATATTTTGAGCTTAATAACATAGAATATTGATGTACTAACATCGTTATTAATATGGTATAAACGATGAGTCGAGTTATATTATTATACTTTCCGCAGTTTCGGAAATAAGGCAAGAGAGAAAGAGAAAAAAATAGAAAAAATATGATACAAGTGTTTCATATCTTTACAATTCACATTGTAAGAAAAGTGTAACTTTTACTTATATTATTTCCATTGTGTGAATTTAAATATTTTATAATTACCCATACTAATATTATAAATGTGGAAGTGTGTTTGTTTGTTCGTTTGCTTGTTTGTTTGTCCTTCTTTCACGTCGGAACAGAGTGACGGATTGGTGTGATTTTTTGTGTGGAGGTAGTTGGAAGGCTGGAGAGTGACATAGGCTACTTTTTAATGTGAAATTAAAAGAAAAAATAATGTGGTAAAATAGGGGATGAAAGTTTGTATGACTTCTGTTAATACCTTTTTAGAATTGTTTTGCAGTTTCAGAGCGAGCGAAGCCGCGGATACTGCTAGTATATAATTATATATATATATATATATATATATATACTCTTTATATATTTTATTTGCTTACTTGTTATCTTACGTACATACCTTGTCGCTAAATTCCTCTGCGATTACTTCCTCACCCCACTTTCGAGGAGCCCAGTAGTAGTTGTACGTCAAAGGGCTAACAATTAATCAAATATTAGACGTGCACACGTAATAAAGGATATATGTAAAGAGCCGTGATAATAATCGTTAATGTCTATACATTATGTCTTAAGATAAGAATCAGCTTTTAATGTACATTTTATAGCTTTTTCACATCAAGACAAAGACGGTTACAAACAAAACAAAATTAATTATACTATATTAGCTATCTTAAATCGCTCTTGTAGTTGATATGTAAAAATGAAGATCTAATAATCTTGGGTTCTAGTTTCAGATTTTTCAAAAAAAATAAACGTATTACATTTTGTTATGAGGATTTTCTTGAATTTCTGAAAAGTTTTTAATGAAACATCCGTGAAAAGGCACCGATTCTATGACTGATTCCATCTTGTCGGTTTACTGTCCTCCAGGGCCAGAGGGGTTACTTACGTATAGCTTGTCTCAGTAAGATTTGCAGACGTTAAAATTAGTTCAGTTATATAGACGAGCAGAACTACGGGATCAACTTAATAATATTGGTATGAATCGCACCTGTGGTTCATAACCAGCACGGTGGCAGAGAGCGACTGGTCGGGGAACGCAGTACCAAGGTGTATCGGGGGGCACGGAGTGCCCCCGCCAAGTCGAGCAAAAAAGGGCACGACAGTACCATCCTTTTCTCGAAGCGATTCAGAGCATTTTCCACCCCCCCATAACTTCGTTATGGATAAAGCTAGAAGCCTGAATTTTCAGTGACTAAAAGAACATAATAAAACTAGGCATATTTCCAAATTACATTCAATTTGAACCTGTAGTTTAAGAACTGTTGCAGATCAAAATTCGTTAATATCGTCACTCACACACTCACTCACTCACCGATCATCAAAATTCTAAGGTACTTCTAGCAGACATAGGAGCTTCAAATTTTGAACACAATTAGTGTTTAGCCTATAACGGAAGGAAAAACTCAAACATCATGCAATTTCAATCCTGTTTTCGAGATATACAAACTGCATAAGTAACTTTGTATTCCTATACAAATAGATATGCGATATATGGGATTACAAAGTTATTTTTGCAGTTAATACATATCATTTTTCGTCACTTAAACTACCCAAATGTATAGCAGGGTAAATAGTGGAATTACTGTAAGTGTTAGCGACGACTAAAATGTAATTATCAATATTGTAAAGAGTTTTAAGAAATAATATATTTAATATATAAATTAAAACTTATATGTATAAAAGATCTTAAATATAAAAAAATATACAAGTAATCGAACACTCGTGTGTTCCGTAGCGAGAGTCGCCCGGGGGAATTCGGTTGGTATCCGTAATAGGATTTCCCAACTATAAAAAAAAAGTACAGAGCCCTCGGAGCGTTAGTTTGTCTTCTACTTGACTAATACATACAATATGTATTTATCAATATTTAGTTTAGTCATGTTAAAAAAACACAGGAATAACTCATATATTATTTTATTAACTTAAATATCCAACTTAAAATATATCTTTCTCAGAGTTCCGTTTGTTATCACTAAGTATTTAATTTGTTAGTCAATTTCTCCACTTTAACGACATCAAGGAACGTTAGAAGGTTTAGGTATTTTTTAAAATAATAGGTCACAATAAAATAGCACATAATATAAATATTTTGATATAAATAAACTTCATCATAGCTTGCCTTAATTTGTGCCGTTATGTCAAATATAAATTTCGTTTAAAAATCATAAAATATTTTAATTAAATATACACTATTTTTTCCTTACATTATTTAACTTAAATATTATTTTTTCATTTCCCGATATCTTACTTTTATTTTTTTCACCTCATTCATATACTTATTCTTATAAAATTTATAATTAATGGTAAATTAATTATACAATAGTTGCACTGTAAAAGGGGGTTAGGTTAGTGTTTTACTTGTAGGTATGTATGTTTGTACGTCCGATCCTATGTTCCCTCGTAATTACTAACCTAATTTCGATTGTTCTATTTATTAATGTTTATATTTGCAATTATATGTATTAGAAAAGTACTTTTAAACGCGAAAATAATATTTTAAGCTTTTTTAGTAGCTGTATACATTTTTATGCATATACAAATGGGTACATAAATGTAATGTGAAGCGTGTATAGTTTATACCTACTAATATTCGATTACTGTTATTTATAATGAATTGATTAAAATATATACCTAATTAAGAAACAACTTGACGATTACTTAATTTTGAAACAAAGCTCGTACATTTTCTTTTACAAAGTATGATGTTGATATGAATTAGAAAACCTTGTCAGCATGAAATATAGAGGTCATGAAATATCAATCTCTTCGAAAATTACTTTTAAAATGGAATGGAATACAACTTTTGGGATTTAACTACGATGCTGCAGATAGACACATAAATCTACACGTCTTATTAAACTTATGTAAGTCGAATATCAGTATCGGGGTAGGTATTTAGGGTCAACAATGAAATTAAAATATTCGTTAAATTAACTATACACATTTATTCTTAATGCATAAGATAGTAGTATTAAAGTCCAGGAGTCCGTTATTTCCCAATACAATAGACTTAAATTTTTTATCATCCAGACTTGTCAAAATTTGTTGCCTATATCAAAGCCTCTGAAAAAAGCCCACAGAGACAAGGAGTGGGCTTTTAAAAAGTCCTTAGCTGACACACAAGAAATAGTACAAGAAAAGAGAAAAAGAAGAAATATTTACAAAAAGAAATGAGATCCCATCAAAAACATTCTGTAAAAATATTGCAAGTCTCGCAACGCATTTCTTCTACCTCAAAAAGCTATGAGATGTAATGTAAAACCAAGTCGGTTAATTTATTCATTACCTATCTATGAAAGCATCTATCCGACAACTTTGTCATAAATCGTTACCGAATTAGTTAAGTTACAACATTTTATAGTGACCGTATTAATATTAGATATATTTATTTCTTTAATTAATAGAATGACTTGGCCATCGCACATGATAATAGAATTTACAAATAACAAAATTTACCTAAAATTAGCGTTCTGCGTGCATTATTAATGTATAGATGCATAAATTTGACCCGCTAGTGCTATGTTCAGTTCATCTCAGCCCAAACACACACACAGCTGGACATAGGCCTCTCCCAAAAAGTTCCACGACAACCAGTCTTGTGCCATCCGCATCTAGTGGGCTCCAGCGACTTTGACCAAGTAGTCCGTCCACCTTGGTCATGATATGTTTAATTAGGGCTATTTAAAGTTGTAGACTCTTATGTGATAATGTTTCCGTGCGATGACCAAGTCATTCTATTAATTAAAGAAATAAATATATCTAATATTAATACGGTCACTATAAAATGTTGTAACTTAACTAATTCGGTAACGATTTATGACAAAGTTGTCGGATAGATGCTTTCATAGATAGGTAATGAATAAATTAACCGACTTGGTTTTACATTACATCTCATAGCTTTTTGAGGTAGAAGAAATGCGTTGCGAGACTTGCAATATTTTTACAGAATGTTTTTGATGGGATGTAATATTTACAATAAGGATCATCTTCACTGCAGATATCAAAATCTTTTTCTTGAGCCTGTCGATTTTTTTAAATTTTATTATTATATATGTATATTTATACATAATATATACCTACTTACTTACACTCACTAAAAGAAGGTGGAGTAAATAGAATGTAAGAATTTTTTACCAGCCATCTTTCAGATATGAAAAAGTTTCAGATAGTGGAATAAACATCACAACTAAAACTAAACATTTATATACCTAATTATTTCCATTATAGCAATATCTAATCAAAATCATTTCATTTATATAGGATACTAGCGGCTCACCCTCGCTTCGCTCGGGTTCGTCGCTAGGATTTAAATATATATAAATAGTTATTAGCCAGCGTTAATCATATAAATCTTAATTTTTTTTTCTCGATTTTTCTGGTGTTTTAATACTTATTAACCTATTCCAGACTAAGAGAAATCCAAAAATTCAAATATCATAAAAATTGTTCCACCCATTCTTGAGTTTTATGTCACGTCAGACGGGAACGCGGTCCAACGGGATAAAAAGTATCCTATGTCCGTCTCCTGGTTCTAAGCTACCTCCCCCCCAATTTTCAGCGAAATCGGTTCAGCCGTTCTTGAGTTATAAATAGTGTAACTAACACGACTTTCTTTTATATATATATAGATTTAAAAAGTTAGAAATTCGGGAATTTGAAAATTCTAACGAGGCAATTTAATAGAAAATCAGTCGATACATCATATACGTCATGTCTAAAAGTAATTATAAAAGGTACACAACTTTGTATGTATTCCAGCTATTCTAAAAGTTGACAAGGTATCAAATAACGATTAATCATGTCAAATTTCTTGGAAATCCATCAAGTAAATTTTGTGTTTAGACAGAATTTGTGTACAATGTCAATCTCATATATTTTATCGGTAATTATACGATTCAAAAGTGCTTGTAATGTTTTATTTGAATATAAGTATATTTTGATTTGATTTTTTATTCAAAAAGCCTTTCCCCACCTCTTTGACCTATGTAAATACAAAAATCTGTTTTATATTTTATAAAACTTGTTGTTTATACACTACGAAAAACGAGACCGCCATATTTTTACATTTTTCATATTAATAAAGTCAAATATTTCATTACATTATAGAGTACCACAGATCTTATAATACTATACTAGAGTACTTTTACTTCTTTAAAGTTTGAATTTCTTTAAATACAACATTTTTCACAACTATAAGAAACCTTTCTTAGTCACTTTCATATGATATAGGACTTGGGTGAAAACATCAGCATTTCAGGTTCAGTAGTTTGGTCTAGTCCTGGTAAAATATCGTGTAGATACATAATATATACTATAGAGATCATTAACCTTGATCGTAACATGCTCAGGGCTGAACATGAGTGCATCAGCCACCAAATCCAGTGAACGCACGGTGGCAGTAGAGGAGACAATGCGCAAAGCTGCCACGCGTGCGCCAGCCGACGTCAGACGCGCTGCCACCACACCCTCTTTCCCTCTCGTCTCGTTACACCCACAGTCTACACCCCTTGTGCAGTCTGAGCAACCTAATCCTCGTGCACCCCCTACCCAATGAGCCGGCGAAATATAGAAGCAGTCGGACACGACGCCAAAATTAGATGAGGTCTTTGTCATGTTTCTTACAACCTGGATTAATTAATTCATTAATTATCTTTGTGTAATAGAAGCGACCTAATAGAATGTATATATAACAAAAAAACATAATATATTTTTATTATGATAAAAAAAATTGAGATAATATATTAAGATTAGATATGTCAATTAAATTCATGAAAACAGTAAAAAAATGTTCAGGTATATAATATCTTGCGTTACTCTAACCTCAATATTACGTTCTTGCCACGAGTCTTCAGACAGTATAAAGAATGAAGCATGTCTTGCATCAGATTTGAACAACAGGGGTTTACGATGCACATCTCCCAATAGCTTTGCTCCCAAGTCCAATACATCTTGTACAATTTCTGATGCATCGAACGTTTGTACTCGTATGTCGGATGTTACATTTCGAAGTAGAACTGTCAAACAAGATTTGTTACTAGTTTACACAGACCACTTCAGGGAATTGCCAAAGAGTGTGCTCAGTCGATACTCTGCATAGTAAAAGCCATTACTTACCTTTTTTGCATATTTTCAACACAAATTGAGGTTTATTTAAGAATACTAAAATATAGGTACATCCGGTATATATGATTTTCCCAAAATAATTTTATTTTAGAAAATATGGCCCCTAAATTAAAAAAGTAAGACATACGGTTATCTTTTAAATGTACGTATAATTCTTTTATATGTATGTATAATTCTTCTGTACGCGTATATCTTTGAATGGTTCGCTTGATGGTTTAGGTTTACAAATGGACCCGGTAAGTGGCGCAGCAGTCGGGTTCTAGTTTTCAGTTTTTTTTTTATTACAGTTAAAGTTATAATGATTTCTGACTTTTATTGGCATAAAAAATTGCCTGTAGCACTCGTCGGTAATGTAGCCATCCCATAATTAGCTAAAACACTTTCAAAATCAGATCAGTATTTTCAGATACCTCTGTACATCCAAATTCACAAATTTTACCTCTTTATAATATTAGTGTAACTATTACTCAAACTCACTTTCAAGTGAAGGCGACTCCATATAACATCGGATAGGTATAACCAAAGAGCGTCCAACAGAGACGCGAACAGAAAGTTCCTCTGTTACCGCACGTACACTCTGTGGAGTGAAGTGCAGACTGATCTCTGCAGCAGCACCCGAAGTCACCGCCAGTCGAGACCGGAGCTCCAAACGCAGGTCTTGACGTGGGGGTGGACGGACAGATAGACTTATTTCTACCTTGGACGTATTCACTAGACGTAGCAATTGCTGGGGGAAATTATATATATGTTACGTGATAGTAACTTTGTTATATGGTAGTTAAAGAATGTCATGGTACAATATTTTCTGGCGTTGATTGCTAAAGCAGAGGTCAAAGGTTCGATTTCAGTAATAGGTAAAAAATGTCATATTTTATACTTAAATAGAGGGTTTTATTCATTAATTATTGTCTTTTTAAATGCGATTATTTTAAGTATTCATTTAGATGAAGCAGACCAAGACATTCTACCAAGGACGCATAGCTTAACAAAACCATCGTAGCTATTTAAATATATTTTTCGTACATGAAATGTAAATATCAAAGAGAACGAATAAAATAATTATCACCGTATGTACTTCCCCGACAGAGAAATTCACAAATTCCACTTGTGATGGAATGCAGACGATGAAAGCCGGCATCTCTGGCGGCGGCAGGATGGGCATAGCGGGTGGGGGAACTCTGGGTATTATCTCGCCCAAACTATAATAATATCATTCATATTATATACTAGCGACTTTACCATCGCTTACCTAGTTTTTAAAGACCTCCATCCATATGGGTAAAGTTATCTCTTGCATGAAGAAGTAACAAACATACACCCAAATTTTTACACTAATAGTAGGACGATGTAGATTTTATAGACTTCTTTAATTAGATGAGAAATTACAATATAATAGCTAATAATAATACTTTTAAATCTAATCCATTAAGTCCCATAGCATGTACATGGCTGTATTTCAAAATATAGACCATCTAAGCAGAATAAGGGGGTGGTCATAGTATTGTACTTTACACTTGCCTTATAGACTGCAATGAATATTCATCGGCGGGTTCTAACGATACTTGCTGTGCTATCGGTGACACCTTCGTTAGAACGGTTAAGTCACCGGAACTTCGATTCAATATGTTTTGTACCCAAAGGCTCTTATCATCTGCATAAATCAAAACAATCATTTTGGAGATAAAGAAAAATAGTTTCATATTCTGCGGGAAATTCATACACTTACATTCATTCATACACTATGGAAGATGCTATTTCCATGAAATATTAGAAGGCAAAATTTCGTAACAAGCATGTAAGTTTGAGATAAACAAATTAAGAAAGTAATAAATTTTAGATTGTCAGCTATTAGTATTAGAACATCTTTAATAAGAGTATTTAAAAAAGTCAGTAATTGTAGTACTGTAGTAGCATGACTAAATTTGTACCTATCAATCAATACTTGCTGCCTTTAGCAATAGTACCAGCGTCGCTGGGCGTTTTTCGGAGAAGATATAAAAAATGTGTTTAAGAAAGGACTCCTATGTATACATATAGATAAACTAAAAAGCAAAACCTTAGTTAAATACAAAATTTTACCAAAATCTGTAGAGCCGTTTCAGAGATACTATATACATCTAAGATACATATAAAATATATAAGAATTGGTTATTTATATTTAATATTAGACATATTTTTTTTCGTTTTAATAAAATAAATAAAGATATTGCAAAGTAATTACGATTTGCATTCTGTTCAATAGAAGGTTTTATATCTTTTCTTTGAAGAAGTCCGAATTTTTGCTTCCATGAACTATCTTCTGCAGGACTACGTGGTGAGTGCAACGTGTAGATGTTCGGTAAAGGATTCCTTACGAGGCGCTTTGCATATTCATATTGTAGGTCTTTCTCATGTTCGCCCAATTTCTTACATTCTGTTGATAAATCTCTAATCTAGAAAAAACAATCTATTCAGTAAATATTCTATAATTTTTGTATAAAAACTGTGACATACATAATATTTTTGGGACTAAAATTGTCAACGGCTATCAAATACGCGATAGTGTGGGCGGAAACGACCAATTTTGGTAGCTCATTATCTACTAATTAATTATACAGTAATAAAATTAATATTCATAATAAATGAATATCCACACTCCTATATTTTATAACATCTATATCCTAATAAGCTCGGATTATATCGCAGTTTTATATTATAATATATTAGCGGATAATTTTGGTTTAATGATAGCTGTTCATTTAAAATGTCAAATATTTATGTATATCTAAGAAAGTGTTACTCAAATAGCTATTATGAACGCTAAAACCTTATATCTTTATATATATAATTCTTCTGTGAGTGTGTATGTCACTGAACTTCTCTCAAACGACTGGACCGATTTTGATGAAATTTTTTGTGTGTGTTCAAGGGGATCTGGGAATGGTTTAGATTCATAATTTGAATAATAATTTTCATCAAAAAAATTATTAAAAAAAGTTTGAAATTTTCAAATTAAAGACGTGTAGACAGGACAACGTCTGTCGGGTCCGCTAGTCTTATATATAAAATTTCCATGTCACAATGTTTGTTACCGTACTCCTCAGAAACGGCTTTACCGATTTTTACCAAATTTTATATGCGTATTCAGTAGGTCTGAGAATCGGCTACTATCTATTTTCCATACCTCTAACTGATAAGGATAAGGGTGGTCCTCCCAGACCCCACCCCAGGGACGAACCCGAGCGGAGCGAGGGTGAGTCGCTAGTAACCTATATAAAAATGATGGAAGAAGAAATGTGGAAATAGGTTACTTTTCAACGCAAGGGCATTTGAGTTATTTAACAGTAATATTTATTGAATCTCAAAATTCCTGTAAACTTTACAGTATAAAAGCCACTGTGAAGTATTTTGCTTATAAAATACATATGTACTTACTAAGAGATCTGAATCAAATAAATTAAGTTGGTCGTCTCCTTCTTTTCCAAACTGTTCGTTTATGATCGGTGGCAAATGCTTTAGTTCTCGAAATGTTTCCCGTAAAACTTCCCTAACATCTGCACATATTGCATTTCTGAAAATTGAAATATATTTTTATGGTTGTATTTTTACGGCTCAAGTAAGAGCCTTAGTCTTTATTTCAATCATAACATAAAGAACTGTATATCTACAAATATAAATCTATACAGATAAATAAAATTGAAGTGTATGTTTGTAATATAAAAATAACAGTTTTTTACTAAATGCACATGAAATGACTTTACTTATAAGAAAAATACATTTTTTTTAATTTTAGTCTGTCTGTCTATTCCGGTTAATCTCAGAAACAGCAGAACTGATTTTGACGGGACTTTAACTGGCATATAGCTGATATCATAAGGAGTAACTTAAGTTACTTTTCTTTCAAAAAAATAATTAGGATTCTACTCGAAAAACTCAAATCCACTTAGGGACGTACCCGAGCGAAGCAAGTCCCAAGTAAGTAGTAAAAGTCATTGAGTTTTATAGGCGCAATAGGTATGATGATGAATGATGTAGAATGTAAATGTGTCAGCTGATAGCAATAAGATTGACATACCGTGTAAAAATTATAAACAAACAACCACTCGACTATGTTAGAAGCTATATATTTAAATTACACTAGCCCAAGGCTACTGTTATCATAAAGTTACCCACAACTTGCTAAGATAAACACACCCAAAGAACAAGGACTAACTCCCAAGAGAATACATTTTATACTGTACTGTATTGTACATATTACGTATATACTAGCGATTCGCCCTCACTCCGCTCGGGTTTGTCCCTCTGTGATTCTTTAAATTGGCGTAACTTTTTTATTTATAAACCGATTGAAATAAAACAAATAGTAAATATTAAGTGAAGCTTACTACAATATATTAGTGAAAGCCGCATCCAAATCGGTTAATCCGTTTCTGAGATTAGCGCGCAAAAGCACAGACAAACAGAGAAAAATTCTAAAAATCATTGTTTTTGGTTCTTTACGTAAATAAAGATCCCAATGATAGTTTTTCTCAAATATCTTCCATGTACAGACAGCGATCAGTTACACTTTTATTATATCTATAGATCATGCTACCTACTCACCCTTGCTTTGCTCGAGTGCGTTTCTAGGCCCCTTTTGTAGGTCACGGACTTAAAGTTAGTATGATTTCTGATGCTAAACACATTTTAATGGTAATAAAAAATAGTCCATACACTCGGTGCTAACGTAGTTTTCTATTAATGAAAGATTTTTTTGAATCAAATCAGTAGTTTTACAGATTACTCTCTACATACTAACTTACAGACTATCTATTTATAAATTAGTATGAATAACGACCTATAAATTTTTGTAGGTCTTTTGGAAGGTCGTCATTGGTCTAGATCTAGTTAGCATATACATAGTATTTATATGGTATTATTAAAGAAGCTATTTTCCATCTTTTATTTCCACCAGTTACACGATATCTATATGATAACTGCCCGCCCACTTGCGTGACAGATGTGTACATCTATGATGATAATCATAATATAGTAGGAGATCCTGTATTGTAGGAGAGGTCTATGTCTAGCAGGACGTAAGCATAGTATATGATATTCAGGCTATAAGCTATCACCATTTCCGTTTCAGCGTGAAAAAGTAAAGAATATTCACACACTAACTTACTCAGAAAAAATATTTTTGCGTTTAATATGTAATGTAAATTTTGTAGATAATTTTTCAAGTCTCTAAAAGACATGTATTGTATCAAAGTCTTCTTACAGATACCTTATCTTCGATATAATATAAAATCTCGAATTTGATCTTAATATTCATTGAATAAACAATAGGAGAGGAACAGAAGTGCCTCGTAACATCATGCATAGAACAAAGTAGAACATTTGTAAAGTTTCCGAATAAATCGTGTATGAATATTTTACAATGCACTCTATCCACTCGACATTTTCTAAGAAAATAAATATGTATCTTAACAAAGCAACTTGCTCTATGATAATACCTATACGTGTATATATTTATGTAGTATAAAACAAAGTCGCTGCTTGCATCTGTCTGTTTCTCCGCTTACTTCTTCCAACGGATTTTGATACGGTTTTCACTAACAGAAAGAGCAATAAATGAGGAAGGTTTGTGTAGTATAATTTGTAAATATTTTCTTTAAAATAGCTGAGCCTAGACGTAGTTTTGTCAAAAAACTATTCTTTGTTACGATTACATGGCTACCGCTGGAAAAGAGAACAGAGGAGTGGAGGAGAGACAGAAAATTGTAAGTATTAAAAAACCCTACAGGAAAGTCCTCTATGTATGTATGTATCTATCTCGCTCACAATAACTATTTTTATCTATATAAAACACACCCGAGCGAAGCGATGGCAACTCGCTAGTAATTTTTGTAATACTAGATATTCTATCGCATTTGCAAATCTGCACTAAACGATTTTACAAAAAAGAAACATTTTAGGCTTAGACAGTAAGATAATAGTTCTGGCTTTTAACGTTCTGCTGCTGAACATTTCCGTCTGGACCGGAGCAGGTCATAGTTTCCTACAAACCACAGCCTGCGCTAGTCATTCATAAATTCGTTCACAAACAAGTTAGGTTCTCGGATGTTTCCTCAAAATATTCTCCTACACTTTATCCATAAATGCAATATAAATATTATGTGTGTCTCTAATAGCAATAAGTTACCATTAATAGCGAAAATATATTTAAAAAAATAGGCTGAAAACGATGCCAGGAACTCAGAAATTAATTAAAAAGCTTTTCTAAAGTTTTACTTTACACTATATTATAAAAAATACTACTATTTTGTGCCTAGTTTCTAGGAAGTGGTTGATTCATTATGACTAACTTTTTATCCGGTAACAAAGGAATATTCTCAGCCATTTTGAAGCAAATACTTGATAAAATAATGTTAGATAATTTATATGACTCATTTAAAAATACAAAATTGACAATTATGTCATTGTCGTCCGAAGAGGTTACAATAATGAAATATTTTACACATTTTTTTTTGTTTTTTTTTTACAAACTACGAAAATATAATTTATTTATATACAGTAAAAAATAATACTTCTAGATTGTACATTTTACAAATTTAACTTTGGAAGCTTTAGATTTTTTAAAATAATGTCCTTAATAATCCAGATGCCAACCGAGAGTTGATTAAATGATATACGAGTATGTAGGTCAGAGGATAAAAGAGGTATAAAAGCAATATATTTTTGCAGTTAATCCAAAACAAGGGATAAGCCGTGTGATGAATCTGACAGATACACAATTTCTAAACATTAAACATTATTTTACGAAACAGACAGACAGAAAGGAAAGCTTGGTCACTGGCGAATTGGATTTGCATACCTAGGGTTCGATACATCCACAATATAATAAATAATAGAAATAGATCCTCTTTTACTAAGCGGTTAAAATGTAAGTCTAATTTATATCTGATTAGTTTTTATATTTTGTTATCTTACGACCATTTAAAATCGAACATAATTTTTGAATTTCCATGCAAGAAACTACGTTTGACGATACATTTTGCTCATTTGTAATAACCCTATATGCTGTGCCAGCTGTCGCGGATTCGAGTCCCGCTGAGGACATTCATTTGTGTGATGAGCAAGAATGTTTGTACTCTAGTCATGGGTGTTTATATTTATAATATGTATGTATTTAAAGTTATATATGTGTAGTGTATCAACTATTTGGTATCCATAACTGCTGCTGTGTGTTAATATCTCAACTTATTTATTTAATTTAGTGGGTGGATGGTGGCCGTCATAACATATTAATATTATATTCAGCTATAAAAATGTTGACCCTATCAAGCTCAAAAGGAACTTCTAGCAAATGAATGGATGATTTGGAGTTTCTGATGGGATTTTAAATAAATCTATTTTTTGAATTTATTCGCGGATTTATTTTGATTTTTGGTTTCCATCCTTAAAACCATAGTCTCTCATAAACACGATTGCTGTAAAGCATTCAAAACGTTGAGAACCAAAAATCAAAATAAATCCGCGAAATTCGAAAAGATATTTTATTCAAAATGTCAGATATTCGAGTGAATCCAAGATTGTTATAGAAATTCAAATGGTCTCTTATGTTGCGGAATCCTAAAATGAAATTATAAAATGAATTTTACTCTAATTCATGAACTTTGCATGATACAGACCTCAAATGAGAAGACATAAGATTGAGCAAACTTTGCAGCCTTTTCGGACCGAGTCTTGTTCATATAGATCGCTCCATTTTACCCTTGAGTATAATTTTGTCTTAAATATACATATTTGTATGGGGAAAGCGACGTGCCTGGTCTGCTTCTGCATAATTAATGCTAATTTTCTTATTTAACTTAGATTCATTATTATTCATGTAAGAGTTTAATTGTCGTCGACTAGATTTATATTGATATAGATACTTACATAAAAAACTAAATTACTGGATATATCAATAATTATTTTGATCAAACTAATCTTAAATCTAATATGATACATAAAATGATTTATTATATATGAAAAATATGATTTTTATGATAAATGAAAAAAAATTGAAATGAACTTTGGAAGAACTGATATTTCTAACTGTTTTGAAAAATGAAGACCCACAAGCGATAAGATGGATGTTAAGGCCCTAAATTTTGAATAATAATGATAAAAGTTCATTCAGTTGACAGTTTTTTTATCAACCGCCTTCAAAAAGGAGGAGGTTCTCAATTCGACTGTTTTTTTTATTTTTTTTTATGTTTATTACCTCAGAACTCCGTATTTTTGGTGATCCATATCGTTATTTATCTTTGTACAATAAACGTTACAAAAACTTATTATGTATGACAGTATCTGCGCAACAAACTTAAAATTTAAAATGTAAATAGTTTCAACTAGCAACTGCGGTAGATTAAATGAGAATTACAAAAAATGCCATACGTAATGCAATACTTTATTGCATTTGAAATTCTTGTAATATAAATTCAGTTAAATTTAAAATTTTATACGTCTTTTATTTTTGTTCGTAATAAATATATGAGACTACTCTTGAATGTTTGTTATATTTTAGGTAAAAGTAACAGTACAAATCAAAAACTTCCATCTCTAGAAGCATATAACTACGTCCTATTGTTTTAAATTAATGTCTGAAAGAAACTAATACTAATACTAATACTAAAAATTTGACAGGTGGGTTCCTTATAGGATTGTAGATTTCTGAGTCCGTAGATCCGTTAAGAAGGATACAAAAGAGCGTAAAAATTTTTTTCGGTTGCTTGAAAGTTCTAACGCGAGCGGATTCGATTGTGTTCATTTTATGCAGGATTTAATCGATATTAATTTTTGTAGAAAAATCATTTATATGCTAAAGAGTGACATAGCTACTTTTTATTCCGGAACATGAATAAAATACTATGAGAAATATTTTCCATGGTGTGTATTCAGCCCTTTTTATCGTCCCACTGCTGGGCACGGGCCTCCCTTCAGTACGAGGGGAATCAGGCCATAGTCCACCACGCTGGCCAAGTGCGGGTTGGCGGACATTTTCCATGGTATATTATTCTAAAGCAAAAATTCGTCGGACGTGTCTCTAGTAATATCTTAAACGCCCCTAATACATACCTATTATAAATGATTGGTGTAATTCCAAGTGATATTGGCACAGGTGCTGAACGGAGCCAAAGCTCCGAGACCACTTAAGCAATTTGCAACTTACATTCTACTTTAATATAAATATAAAAAAATAATAATATAAATTTAAAAAAAGTATTTGTTTGTTTGTCCTTCTTTCACGTCGAAGCAAAATGATAGTTTGGCGACAGATTTATTACCGTGGAAGATTATCTCATTCCCACGCGAAAACACGTTATAATATTGTTTTTTGTCCTACCGAATCAATTTTCTGATACAGATAGAGTAGATATCCATTACACGCACTTTCACGCTTTTTCAACTTGTAAGAGTTAAAACTTCGGTGATTTTGGCACTTTACAAGCGCCGTGGTCACAAATATATATTTTGCGGATGGAAGTTGAAATTGTTTATTGGTTGTAGAGTTTTAAATCAAAACAAACCTATCCATTCCATATAATACATTTTTTTAGTGACCATGAAAGCTTAAAGATTTAAGTATACCACACGTTCATGAAGAGCAGAGATCCTATGAAATACACACTTGATATACAGTAGCTCCCAATTACTCTTTCACACTACTTAAATTATGAATACGAAAGTTTTTTAGTTAGTGTCAAGCTTTTCGCTGACATGACTTATCCGATTTGAATGGAATACGAATTGCATAAAGATGTCCTAAAAAAGCATTCTCTGAGTGAAACCGCGATTAGAAACTAGTAACTTATTTATCTTCTATCTTGTAGTTACAGCTACATCGGTATCAAACAAAAGCTGCCATGTTGATACAATTACAATTTTCGATGTATTATTATCGGGGTTCCATAGCCAAACGGCTCAAATGTACCTTTATAATTTCGCATTATCCGTCTCTCCGAACATAAGTTATTTTTCTCGAAGACTATAAGGGCTGTATTGTTAAGATAAGTGGGCTTCTCATATAACCCGCTTGACAATGCTCTCAAATTATTAAAAAAAAACGGAAACTGAGAGGTTAAAAATTTTAGTCGACGTATGTGTGGATTGTGTTTATATAGGTTTTAAAGTTCAGGTTAACGTTTCTATGTGATTTTATTGTGCTAGTTGCAGAGTCATATGTTGATGATAATAGAACTTCCTAAATATGAAAATTATTTTGAAATAGATTAGTTGAGCGGTTATTTAAATCTATACATATAATAAAATTCTAACTAAGTCAAATCTGTACATTAAATATTTTTTGGAAAATCTAATTGAAATAGACATTATTATCGATACAGAGTCCGAATCTATAGTTTTTAGAATTTTTGTCCGTCTGTCTGTCTGTCTGTCTATCTGTCTGTTACCACATCACGAGAAAACCACTAGACAGATTTTGATGAAATTTGGTATGATGATAGCTGGTTATCCGGGTCAATATATAGGATACTTTTTACCGCAGGAATATATCTTATTTCTGAGAAAAAATAGAAAAACTGCATTGTAAGAGTATTAATATGTAAAACCTAAGAATTTGGATTTTGGTCACAATATAATTGAAATAAGCCAAAATTATACACTAACTAAATATAAATAAATGTTTATTGTACTGAAAATATAACAGGAAATACATGTACAGTTTCCAGAAAGTTTAATTTTCTATCTGCACAGTCACATCTGTCTGGAGAACTCTTGAGATTTTGATTCATTTCATACAAAGGTTATTTTTCATTGTTCAAATTAGTTTGAACTATGAAATTTGAATGAATAAGTGAAGATTTAACTGGTCCTTTCTGAGCATTCCAATGTAATCAGAAGTGATGTATGGCACTAAATAAAAGTAAATATGCAACAACCATTAGCCAATGTTTAATATCAAATAAATCATTTATTTGTAAAGAATTACGTATGATTAATGGATGTTCTGGACAAAGTCGATCATTTATCACAAGACTACATCACTGTTAGCCTCTTTCCACTTCTTCAATAAATTAAATTGGTCTGCTCATATTTTACTTAGAAGGAATATTTTTTAGTATCTTTTAATCACTCCGCGCTATGGAGAGTGGCGCTGTGGGTTTGGTTTTGAGACTCTCTCGTGTGATGGGTATAGCTCCTTATCCAAGAGGATCGAGACTTCGAGTCTCGAAAGCATTAATTGTGTATGGATTCGTACTAGTTACGTTTATTAGTGAGTATTATTAAAATTATTTTTAAGCAATACATTAAGTTTGTAAAGTAATAAAAATTGAGTTTTAAAATTTCACCATATTATATACTCGTATGTACAGTAAAATTTAAAATTTAACTCTAACTGCAAAAACAGATGTATAATATAATCTATATATATATAATAAAATAGTAACAAAGTGAAACATTAGTTTACTATTTTTATCTGGTTATCTGTATCTGTATGTTTTTCACGCAAAAAGTTCTTAACCAATTTTAACTAATTTTGTGAAGTGATAATACTCGGCATTTTAAATAAATTCTAAAAAACTATAAATATGATAATACTCGGGACAAAATTTAGGATACCTTTTACTACAGGAAAATAGTATTTCAATCGTTCTTAAAAAATTGCATGGCTAAAGCTAACTACACAGGTCTATTTATACATCAAAACAATCTATTACGAAGTTCTTAAAATGGCCAACAAAAACAATCTCCAACGGTGCACTCGTAATTACTATTTTATCTATTTAAACCTTAAGCCGAGCGATGCGAGAGTAAGTCACTAGTAAAAAATAAAAAAACAAAACCAGATCATAATCAATGAAAGTGACCATGTAAATAAGTAAATACTTTACTAGAATAATGTTGATAGCGAAATTTCCAGGTTTTTACTTATTATCGGCGACAGGTGTCTATCTAATGAAGCACGAAACCCCATTGCTAGCGCGAGACATCACACATGCTATCGGTAACTTAGTCACCGTGACGCTTGTGTTACTTGGAACGTACACTGCTCGGGGCAGGATGCGGCATATGGCTCAATCACTTAAACAGCTAGAAGAGGTATTTTTACAAGCTTTTATTTATGCAATGTTTGTTCGTTGGTATTTTTGTATGGCTCAAATCGTGCAAACTGAGTTAAAACCACTTGGTCATGTTTTAAAGATTTGAAATTTTACATGTTGGTTTTCGATAACTATGACTTTTTAAAATAATTATGACGTACTTATCTATCTATAACTGGTTCCCGAAGAAGAAACATCTCAGCGGTTAACTGTACAGAGATGAAATTTTATACACATACGCATTAATTTATAATTATAGCCCTTTCTAAAATTTACCATGACTTTGTTGCTATGTCCTGAGTATGAGAGATCTCAGTAGTCAACGGCACAGATACTTAACTTTATATTTGCATATTATATCATTACAAGTATCATTCAGGACTTAAACATTTCCTCCACAGATACGAATACGATAAATTTTAATTATTTTAATGTGCTGAAAAAAAGAAAATTAGCTTATAAAAGCTTGTTTAAAAAAAAATTTTTTAATGTTTTTTTTATTTACTGTTTATTCCCACCGATCATGGATGTATTAAGAGAATTTCGCCTGTTTCGGAATTAATTAAGGCCTCATTGACATTGAACGAACAATTTTGAACAAGAAACTATATTATATATTTATACTAATATTATAAATGTGAAAGTGTGAGTATTTGTTTGTTTGTCCTTCTTTCAAGTGGGAACGAAATGACAGATTGGCGTAGTTTTTTCTTTGGAGATAGTTGGAAAGCAGGAGAGTGACATAGGATACTTTTTACCACGGAAGATTATCTCATTCCTACGGGAAAACACATTAAAATACAACCCAAAAAAATATTTATAATCAGAATTCTTAAAATTCATTAATTCAATTAAGTCAATACGTGTTATAATATTTTTAAAAATTCATCCCATAAGGGGGTAAAATAGGGAATGAAAGTTTGTATGAAACCTTTTAGAGTTTTTTTATAGTTTCAGCATGATAATAACAACAACAAAGAACGCCTTGATTAATGCATCTTAAATCACTATTAAAGTCTTATTAACATACTTTAAAACTTCAGATTAATAAGAAGATCTCCTACTCGTATATAGGAGCCATTCCGAAAGATCATTTAAAATTTTGGCTTATTGTTGGATTTATTTTCGGAAGTTTCATAGTTTATATTATAGACACCATTACATTTATATTTGTAATAACAAAAAAAATATGTGAGTATAAAATTGATTGTTCCTATATATTATCATTATAGCATTATATCAAAATGTACTTATTGTCTAAAAAGTACTGCTTAACCATACTTAACAATAGAATCAAGCCAATTGTCCATCTTTTATTAACGGTTAGAAACGCATGTGCACATACACGCACGCTTACACTTGCATACATGCAGTTGGTTTTGTGGAGACTCATCGGCTAGTAAAGCCAGTACTAACCACTAAAACCCAAAGTAATACTTCTGCGTCTATAAATTGGGACGCCTCGATGGCTGATTGGCATACTCAGGCAGACGTCATCCTGTTGTTCACGAGAATCAGAAAATTGTTCTCGCGTCCAACTCTGTTTTCAGAGAAGTACCAGGAGCAATCCACTGCCTTCTGGTGTATTCTTAGCTTCATACCCGGCCGATTTTATCCAAAAAAATGATATACTCTCAGTGTTTATTATTTTTCGATATTTCAGGAATAATAGTTGGTTGTAAGGAAGTAGGTGTCACCGGAATATTTTTAAATTTTAATTGAAATTTTAGACTTTCGTCGTATCGCATCATGTTTCGTCTTTCGTCGTATCGCATCATGTTTATATAACAGCATAAACATGAAATTGTCAATGTTTGAAACAATAATATGTTTTTCAGCTTTATTAATCTTGTATCATTAATAAATATCCTAAATAATATCAGGCCTAGATGAGAACCCAGTGGTGCTCCGGATGCTATCGTAAATATATGCGATTGATATCTGACAATAATAACATCCATCTCTAGATTCGTGAAATAGGATTTAAACCCTTTAATTAAGTTACCGAAAATTCCATACCTTCTAAAAAAAATGAATAGGCTTTGGTTGTTAATTACATCAAAAGCTTCAATAAATGTTTAATACATATGAGAGGTAATTTATTTGTCCAATAAACTCATGCAGCCTTAATTCCTAATTTTAAAAGTAATTTAAAATGTTTTAGGGCTTCTTTACTTCATTATTTACTTCGTAGAACAAAGTTTAGTTGTTCTACTTGAAATGCAACTGGTAACGTTCGCAGCTCGAATTCTTCTGACTCTAAAAATGATAAACAAAAGTTTGCAACACTTATCATACATAGAAAGCAAACATATGCCACGTATGATTTTTACAATATAATTTATATTTTATATTCCTTTAAAGAACACAATGAAAATATTTTCTAAATATTTCATTATTTATAGGAATGTATACTATGAATAGATATCGAAAAATGCCAAAGGTGGCATGGGAGATAGCGAACAGTGAAGACACTCCAGTAGACGTAAACAATGCTAATAATTATATTTTGACCAATAAAGATGTTTTGGGTAAGACTTAGTTGTTCTGTCATATCTTCTTATAATATAATGTCAATTAAAACCTTCAACAAATAAGACCAAATATGGCACGTTTTGAAGCTATTAACAAGAGAATAGAATAGATAAATAAATTAATGCAATATAGTGCTTAATAAAACAGTCCCTTCAGACCTATTGAAAATGAAAAATTTGAGATAGAGTTTTCTAAACTGGACTTAATACTTTGATATGTAATTTCCATTCATTTTTATTAACACGCCCTTGTTACTTTTACTTATGACTACCAAACTTTTAACTAGTCGACTGACTGTCTGACTGAATCAAATCTCGGATGTCTACTATAGCCTATTACTTAGTATTATTTATGTACGCGAGATCCGCATTATCATAATTTATAATTTTATCTGGATGTCATTGTGAGGTGTATAGATTTATTTGATTCTTATTAAATTTTATTTTTTTCATTTAAACAGGTACAAATAAACCAGAGAGAACAGAGTATATGATACGTCAATTAGCTGTCTACTATCGACACATCTGTGGCATAATTAGAACATGGACCAGTTCAGATGGCCTCTTGATGGCTTTAATGCTCATAAGCCGTATGTTTCATTTGGTGCTACTTTTACAGAGATTAATCATGGGGTTGACCCAACATTCAGGTAAATTACAAATGTAACTGCAGAGATTTTTCGCCTTGTTCGATCCACTTTTCTTCACATTTATAATCATATAATTAGTATTTAAAATTCTATATAATATTATGCTTTATATCTATAGAGAATTTGGGTCACTAATAACTTTATTTAAAATACAATTGTTCTTGCAAAATTTCGTTAGAGTTTTCTATTAACGATCGTGATTATAGAATATTTTTTTAAATCCTAGTTATAATCTTAATTGAAATAACGATACCTAGCATTATTCCAACAAGAGTACTTACCTTATATCTATTATTATTATTTTATCATTGTTCACAGATACACAATTTCTTCATGTATTATTATTTTCGTTAATAAACATTATCAAGCATGTATTGGCGTTAGTATTGTTTGTGGAGCCATTTCAAAGAACTCATTTTCAGGTCTGTTACCAACAGAAATATTTATTGCTTAAAAGTTATAATTATAGTTCATTATAAATATTTATTTTTTGAATGAACATTAGTATTAAAAAAATCAACTTATTATTACTAGGTCCATTTCTGAAAATACCTACAAAAAATCATAACCAAAAATGAATTTGCGCTCCAAATTGATTAGGCGTTACTTTATAGAAATGCGACGATACTAAATTGTGTTTCATTTATACTTTTGGATTGAACATTGTCACGTGACTTTATTCATTTTTAGCATTTTACGCATGCGCACTAATCAAATTTTGTTGCTCGAAAAGCTGGTTCTCAACGTCTTATCCTGCTTGTGATTGGTCAGAAATTACAAAACGTCAAAATTAATATGGCGGATTGTTATTGTTTACGAGTGCATAGCTTATGAGTTTTTTTTTTTTATAGTTTTAACTTGATTTTAGCGAATTATAGACATTTTGTGGTGTGTTTGCTTGTGAAATGTGCGTGTTTCACATATTTGTTAATTCCGGTGAGTTCTATTAGCCATTATGGCATTAATCTATATTGACTTTTAACTTAATATAATTTTCTAAACGTAGTTGTTTAATAAATAGATAGTGTGTCATCAAGCTACTCATTTATTTGAAATATGACTTAATTATGACATGAAATGAGTTATCTAAATATTTTCCTAAAACTTTTTACTAAAAATATGTGTGAATGTGCTAGATTAGAAAAATCTTTAGTTTGCCATGTTTATTATTCTCTGATTCTATTTAAGTTTAGAGTGAATATTAATATATTAAAGTTATTTTAAATACGTTACATTAATTAACCGAAATAAGCTAAATACGAGTACTAAATAGGTTATAGGACACTTTAAAAAACGGACCGTATTGCAATAGATATTGTAACAAATAAAGCCTGCGCTTCTTATTATTTGTTTTTTTTTTGTGTGGAATTTTTACATAATTCATAATTTTTGTTCAATAAATAAAATACAATAAATAATACAACAATCTCATCAGTAAGAAAGACGAAGTCGTTGAAAGAGATGTCAGTTGATAACGCTTATATTTAAATATAGTTTACATTTATTTATGTAAAATTAACAAAAAAAAAGAATATTTAAATTCCAAAATAGAATAATCAGGTTAACAGGTTAAATATACTCATAATAAACAAAAATAAAATAATGCGTTCTTAAATCAAATTTCCGTACTTTCACTTATTAAGTGATGCGTAATGACTTTCATAGAGGGCGTTATTAATCATTTATGGGGTTTTATTATTTTACTAGCATTGCCCGCGGCTCCGCCCGCGTTCAGATGACCAAAAACCAAATTCTTAGGTTTTACATATTAGTATACTCTTACATTGCAGTTTTTGTATTTTTTCTCAAAAATGAGATATTTTCCCGCGGTAAAAAGTATTCTATATGTTGACCCAGATAACCAGCTATCACCATTCTAAATTTCATCAAAATCCCTCCAGTGGCTTTTCCGTGATGAGGTAACAAACAGACAGACAGACAGACAAAAATTCTAAAAACTATAAATTCGGCCTCTGTATCGATAATAATGTTTTTTCCATAAGATTTTCCAAAAAATATCTAATGTACAGATTCGACTTAGTTACAATTTTATAATATGTATAGATTAAGTGTATTTTAATGTATTTTGCTAGAATATTTTACATACATTTAAAAAAAAACATAATAGTCTTATTAAGAAAAAAAAATATCTTCACAATTACATTTCTTATTTTTTTTTTTGAATTGATATATAAAAATTGTATATCAATCTTTTTGTGTGTGTGTTTTTTTTTGGAATAGCTTACCTCTGCTAAAATATCACCCTTCGCCACTGATATATATATACATACATACATTTAATCAGGGAAATCACAATGTTATAAGCTTGCAAGGCAATTCTATTAATTTAGCGGAGCAGCGGGTTCATAGTCACCAATCAGACTTTCACATTAATTTTTTTTTTCGTGGGGTAGGAGTGAAACACGTCGGGCGTGAAATTGTGATCAGCTGATTTATGTTATTATAAAATATTATAATAAGCATTTATTAAATAGTTCTTATGTTTATGTGAGTAACAGTTTTACCCACCTGCAAGAATACTCCTATTTTTACTCTCTTATAGACATCACTTGCGATAAAAACGAAAATGGAATCCATCAAGGAGTCGTTATCTGCACTAACTGACATGTTTAATGCAAGAATGCATGAGTTCCAACAGGACTTAAGCAAAGCATCAACACCAGCTTCAAGTAGTGTTCTACCAAGTGAATTTAACCATTTCCGCAGTTTTATTTTATCTGCATTGAACACACTGCAACGGCAGGTTGAATATCTCGCATTAGAGGTCGACAGGCAAGAGATGAGGAACAGGCGGAAAATGTTATTATTTTACGGTGTTCCTGAGCAAAAAACAGAAGACATCCCGGCCCGAATCACTAGCTTAATTGCCGAACACCTGGACTTGCAGAACTTTTCTACTGAAAATATTAAGCACTCGTTTCGCTTAGGCCGTTCTTCTGATAAGCCCAGGCCTATAGTACTAAAATTTAGTGATGTTTCCGTTCGTAACAAAGTATGGTTTGCTAAAACCAAACTAAAGGGCACTGGTGTTACGCAATCGGAGTTTCTCACGAAATGTAGGCACGAAGCATTTTTAGAGGCGAGGCAACGGTTCGGGGTCAGCAATTGTTGGACACGAGGTGGGTGCATCCACATCATCGCACCTGATGGATCTCGACACCGGGTGGAGTGCAAGTTGGATCTCAGTGCCATACCAAACAATCCAGTGAAATCATCCGTGCAAAAGATAGTAGTGTCGAAAAAAACAGATAATGTTATACCTTCTCGCGCAAAACGTATAGCTAAGAAGTAAATTTAGTTTATATTATATTTAAAATCAATTAATTTTACTAATTTCAATAGATTGAGTTACTATACGATAACTTTGTTTATTGTTATTATTATAGAAAGTTCACAGACTTATTACCATAACAGATTATGTTTGTATCACAGTCCACAGATAACTAATTTTCTTGTCTTTGGTAACTTTAGGGTACAGATACACAACATATTTTTGTTGTATTATTGGTTTGTAATTACCAATTATTGTGTGTTTTTTACATTCTTCATTTTCGTATGTATATTTTTGTATGATTCTATTTTTTTTTTTTATATCTCTTTTTTTTTGTTTGTAATTTTAATTACTTTAATGTGAAATTTCTTTCTTTCTTGCAACTGGCGGGTGAGTTGTAGTTGTGAGATAAACTTGCTAGTATTTTTTTTTATATCATATTATTATAACTATTTATTTAATAAATTTAATTTATTTATTGTTTATATTATTATTATATAATATAAATATTCAAGTATATTCTATTATTATATATTTCTTTTTACTTATTATTATTTACATATTTATTTATTTTATTATATTATACAACGTACAAAATGACGTCGATTTGCAGTAGTTTAAACGATTCGTTTTTGTCTTGTTCTACATCGAAGGATGAAAGCAGCAACGACAGTTTTCATAGTATCCAACCACTTGATGAAACTCTTGATCTCGTTTTCTCAGATGTTCTGAAAAACTTTAACTTAGTTCATATTAACGCCCAAAGTATTCCTGCGCACTATCCCGATATGTTGTCTTCTTTTACTTCCAAAAATATACATGCCATTTTGGTGTCCGAGTCATGGCTGAAGCCATGTCTCCCATCTACATAAAACACTACCAGGGTTTCACTTAATTAGAAATGATCGTGCTGAACGCACTGGAGGTGGAGTTGCAATCTATCTACGTTCCCACATTCCTTTCTCGATTATTAGTATGTCTAAGAATCAAGGAGACGTAGGACCCGAACATCTTTTTATTGAGATTTTATTATCTCACACTAAGATACTCCTGGGTGTTTATTACAATCCTAATCTCACTATCGATTATTTCTCATCATTTGAAACCCTGTTAGAAACATATAAGCCTTTGTACGATCATACTTTGGTAATGGGTGATTTTAACACCTGTCTCCTAAAGAATGATCAACGCACATCGCGTCTTAGTTCCCTTGTAAATGCAGTTAATTTAAACATTCTCCCCTTAAGGCCCACTCATAATTTTCCAAATTGTCTACCATCTCTTCTTGACCTGATTTTAGTATCTTCCACTGACCTTGTTGCGAAACATGGTCAGTGTTCGGCTCCGGCTTTCTCATACCATGATCTAATCTATTTGTCTTTTAAATTGAAAACCCCAAAGGCAAAATCAAGAATCCTTCTTCAGCGAAATTTTGGTGGTATTGACCTACAACGCTTGCACGCAGACGCTGAAAGTGTGGATTGGTCAGTAGTTACCGCAGCAACTACAATTGATGAAAAAATTTCTATATTCAATTCTCTTTTGATCCAGCTGTATGATATTCATGCTCCAGTTCGGCCTGTACGAGTCAAGCATCTTCCAGCTCCCTGGCTTACACCAGAAATCAAAAGGTTACAGATCAAAAAGAATGTTGCAAAAGTAAAATATGTTTCAAATCCTAGTGACGAAAATAGGGCAAAATATGTCAAGGCTCGGAATCGTTGCAACACGGTGTGTAGGGATAGTCAACGACGCCATATCTATAAATCGGTTGTCGAAGAAGATGACTCAGAAAAAGTCTGGCATTTTCTTAAGTCTCTAGGAGTAGGTAAATCTAGAGTAAATATTAATCCTAAAAACTTAGATTTAAATTTGCTAAATCAATATTTCTCTTCTTCTAGTATTATAAATAGTACAAATAAATCGAATACACTTAATCTCCTTTCAAATCTACCTACTCCTGACTTTCCCTGTTTCAGTTTTAGTCAAATCTCCGAAAGTGATGTTAAGAGAAATATTATGGCAATCAAATCTAACGCCGTTGGGGCGGATTGTATAAGTCGCAATATGATTCTTCCTATTATTAACTTTATTGTTCCTATAATAACATCTATCCTTAATGCCTCCTTAAATCTCCACAAGTTTCCTTCGTCCTGGAAAGATGGCCAAATTATTCCACTCTCAAAAAAACCTAACCCTTATTCCTTTTCTGACTACCGACCAATTTCAATTCTTCCTTTCCTATCCAAGGTCCTCGAACGCCTCATGCATCGTCAACTAAGTATTTTTCTACATCAAAATAGTCTATTAAATTCTTTTCAATCTGGTTTTCGTCCTAGTCATAGCACGGTTACTGCGCTAACTAAAATAACAGATGACGTTAGAGAAAGCATGGACAATAAAAAGGTTACGGTATTGACACTATAAGATTTTACAAACGCTTTTAATACAGTAGATTTCGACATTTTACTTGCCATTCTAGCTTCTCTTAACATATCTCCTGAGGTGGTTGACTGGTTTCGTTCTTACTTGTGTGATCGCCGGCAGCGTATACGAATTGAAGATTCGTGCTCTGAATGGTCTATAATTAATGCTGGTGTTCCACAAGGTGGTGTCTTGTCTCCTCTCCTTTTTTCAATTTTTATTAATTCTATCTCTCAACAAATTTCTTCTCCCTACCACCTGTATGCTGACGATTTGCAAATTTATGCCATGACTACTGTGGAGAACTTGCCTATTACCATTAATAATATAAATAAAGATTTGTCACTCATATCATCATGGGGTAATTCATATGGACTCAATCTAAATCCAGATAAATCTCAAGCAATTATTTTAGGTAGCCAGAGACTATTATGCAAAGTTAAAAATATGCACATACCACCCATACTTCTTAATGGTGTCCAAATTATGTTTACTGATAAAGTAAAAAACCTGGGTATTTTAATTGACCAGTGTTTATCGTGGGGACCGCAGATAAGTGAGATGAGCAGGAAGATGTTTGGAGCGATTGCTTCTCTTCGTAGATAAAAAAATTTTCTGCCCATACCTACCAAAATTGCGCTAGCAAATTCTCTTCTACTACCGATTCTTGATTATGCTGACGTTTGTTATCTTGATATCAAAGAAGAATATTTAAATAAACTTGAGCGACTTCAAAATCTTTGTATACGGTTTATTTTCGGTCTTTGGAAATATGACCACGTTTCAGAATTTCGTAAAAAACTCAAGTGGCTTCCTATCCGTTTCCGCAGGAATACTCACATTCTCCATCTTCTTTACTGTGTGCTATTTCACCCTTCAACTCCTTTTTATTTAAAAGAGCGTTTTGAATTTTTAAGTAACTGTCACAGCCGTTCTCTTCGCTCGGAGCACAACCTAGTTCTCAAAATTCCTCCACATTCTTCATGTTTCTACTCTAACTCTTTTACTGTAAAAGCTGCCCGGCTCTGGAACACACTTCCTTTAAAAGTTAAAAGTGCCAAAAGCCTTGATAAATTTAAGCTGTTATTAAAAGAATATTACCTGTCCCTTTAGTGCTTTTTTTTATATTTAATTGTATCTATAACTATGTATATTTGTAGGTACGTGTGTATATAAATTAGTATGTATGTGTATTGTACGTTTATATATTTGTATTGTGTGTTTAAGTATGTATGTATATTTGTATGTATGTATATATGTATGTATGTACGTTTGTATGTGTATGTGTATTATGTTTATCTATTTATATTGTATGTATAATTATATCGTATAGCAAGTACACCGCCTACCATTTCTCTCACACTCTCCTTTACCTGGTAGTTGGTTGCCTGGAAGAGATCGCTTTAAGCGATAAGGCCGCCTACTGTGCATCTTTGTTAATTTTTAATTACTGTCTGTACGTATTTTTCTCTTTGGTGTACAATAAAGAGTATTATTATTATTATTATTATTCAATATCAAAACATAACTCTCTATGATCCACCATGATCAACCAACGTCACTAAGCCACGTATCTCCAATGAATGTCGTAATGGCGTCTTGACCCTGCTCGAGACTTAATCTCTGCTCTAAATTCAAAAACCCTTTAAAGCAATAAAAAGTAAACTAAATAACATAGTGACTTTAAACAATAAGGTTTCACATTCTGGCAGAGAAAGGTAACTAAATCCTGCTCCGTCACGGCCATCCTGCTTTTCACACGCCCTAGGGTGATTTTGTGGGTACTGCCCTATCGCTATTTCCTCTACCACGGCCGTCCTGAAGTTCACGCGCCCTCATGTGATGTTGAAAATCGAGCTCAATCGTTATCTATATGAAGAAAAAGAAAATATTTAGAAAACATAGTTGGTTTTAAATAAAGCAATCTTTTCGGATAAACATACATAGTTAGGCGAATCCTGACCACATAACCGACCAGGGTGGTCAATCTCACATCATCACTGAAACTAGCTATCTGTGCAGTAAATATTATAGTGCAAAAGTGTACATACAGACAGACGAAGACACAGTACGGGGATTTTTTTAGCTTTAAAATAACTTTTAAAGCAATAGAAAGTAAATTAAATAACGTAGTGACTTTCAACAATAAGGTTTCACATTCTAGCAGAAAAAGGTAACTAAATCCTTCATATCCTTCCTTCGAATTTTCTTTTACTACTGTAAATCATTTACCTGTCATATCTTGCAACAGATAATAAACTAGTTCTTATATTAAATTATTTATTTTGTATAGATGGAACGTACGTCTATAATCGTCCAGACTCTGAAGTGTAACTGCGGGGAGAATCAGCCACTGAGAAACGAATTGGATCAGTTTTTACGCATGTTGAAGCTGCAGAAAACCAGCTACTCTCCTCTTGATATGTGCACTCTCGGCAGACCACTCCTTTTTAAGGTGTGCATGTTCTTATGGCATAATTAAGTCAAAATGTAGTTTCACGTATTGCTCAATAACTCAATATACCATGTACCTAGTGGCTAGCATGTTGCTACAGATCAGAGGCCTTCAGTTCGAGTTCCGCGTTCAGCAAACTGTAGCTATTAGGTTTTCAATTGTCGGCAATAGCTCGGTTACGGAATATGCATCAAACAGCACGTAAAGACATCTAAACAGCGACTTATCTGTCAGAGTTCGTATCAAATTATTGTACCACTGGAATTTGTGAGTGAAAAATAATAGAATAGAGGGTGCACTTGCATGCAACTGGTGAGATTGGCCACATTGGCAGGTATCAGTCAATAGTAATTATTATTACTACAGTCTGATATACTTATATTAATATATTTTATTTTTCAGATATTTGGTGGCCTTTTCACATATTTAATGGTAATTTTGACATATGGACCTGAGTCTCAGACACCTTCACTGGCTTTTACAAGCTATTTTTGAGATTTACTGCCGTTTTTCAGAATTAACATTTGTTGATTTTTCGTTTGAGTGAGGCGTCGAATTCTGTTAAAGAGGCGATCAACGACACTTTTAACTTCAGTTATCCATGAAAGCCGACTTAGACTTGTCTGAAATGTACAACAGCCCATAAAAATGCAGCATCTTGCCTATCGTGAGTCATTCAGGAAAATCTGGCTGGTAACATTAAGAAGCTCTTTTACTCCCTACGCTACTAATTACTCATCTAAATGTTTATATATAATAACTATATTTATTTTGTATAATTGTATGTATATTTTTTATAAAATGATTTTGTAGCTTATGATAGATAGATAGATAGATAGATACAGTTTATTGTACACCATATTAGAACAAACCAAACACAACGATAATTAGTATTTTTATCTGGCTATCAGCCATTGGCTGCTAGACGTAATGTAAAAGAAAAGGTTATGTCATGTTAGATTTCCATATGCGGCACAAAAACCGATTGTTGAAAATATACGTGTGTATTATATAAGTATACTAGCATTGCCCGCGGCTCCGCCCGCGTTCAGATGACCAAAAACTAAATTCTTAGGTGTTACATATTAGTATACTCTTACATTGCAGTTTTTGTATTTTTCCTCAGAAATAAGATATTTTCCCGCGGTAAAAAGTATCCTAGGATCGCGCGCTACATCGCCCGGTTTATATAGCTTGAGCAGGCGGTCGAGCGATGCGGGGCAGAGGGGATGGACTCGCCGTAGGCATCTCAATGCTCGCCAAGCATTAAAAATGTTTCGCTACTAATTACTTCTAACAACGATATCTCAAAAACTATTCATCTGATTGATTTAGTGTAAACAGCAATTTTAATCTGCATTAAATGACTAAGCTAACTAAAATATTCATTTGGATAAGGATTAATACCGAACTAAAGAAAATAACTTTGAAAATAACGTAATGTTTTTAATTAAAAATGTTAACATAAAAGTGGTTATTGTAAGTCAACCGTAAGAGATAGAGATATGCTATCGCGGACTTTTTTGTAGCATTTTTATAGATTTTGAATTCTCTAGTACATTACTTAACTGTATCTTTGCTAGTTTACGCGGCGTTCGCGTGGAAAGTTCCCATTTGGCGAGATTTTTTGCGACCTCTTCAACATTTGTCGCCGTATTTCAGCTAATTTACATAAAAGCATAATAAATTATATACCTAAACCTTCCTCAAGAATTACTCTTTCTATTGTTGAAAACCGTATAAAAATCCGTTCAGTAGTTTTCGAGTTTATCGCGTACAGACAGACAGGAGGACAGACAGGAGGACAGAAAGACGCGGCCGGGGGACTTATTTTTATAATAAGTATAGATATATAACCAGTCTATATGCTAAGGTCAATCTTTCGATTTTTGGGTTGAGTCAAGATAGTTATTGGAATTTTCCATTGAAAAAATGTCAGTAACAGCCCAGAGCAGAAAAATTACCAATGTCACAGTAATCTTTGTAAGTTGTTACGAAGTTTCATTCATTTACTAGGTAGGATCTAGGTCTAGGGGTCGAATCTGCGTCATCAGTACTATCTCTGATATTGTAAATATCCTATGGGTTACTTTTTATCCAAATTTACTCAGTAGTCCAAGTACATTAATGAAAAAAACAATTTAAATGTAAACGAGAAACGTATTTTTTGCATATGGATTATTTTTAAGAATCAAGAAAGGAAAAGAAAAATACCTTTTTATTCTCGGCTTTGCTCTCGTTACCTACATTTATTAAAATATAGCTGATTACACTTAAGCAGTTACTGCATGAACAAATAAGAAGCCAGAGTGTCATCTATTCACTTGCAAACTTTTACAATTATATTGTTAGCGTAATTTAATGAAATTAATATGAACTCATTTGTATCCATTTCCATATAGGAATGGATTTTGTGAAGAAATAATATATAATCACATCATCAAAAACCACTGAACTTTTTAGTCTTTTTCAAATCTAATCAAAATATACTTTATTCAAATAGACTTTTACAAGCTCTTTTGAATAGTCAATTTTAAATTTAAATTCAATGTGAGAAAGCTACCACCTTTTTCACTTCGGTACAGGTATAAAATAAAGAAATAACATTCACCACTACATAATATATGGAGTACCACTCCTACTTTTTTTTACTGAGATAAGAAAAAAAATTAAGTCCACATGAGCGTGTAGATATTACTCCTTAATGAAAAAAAATCTGTTGGATTTTATTTCGTAGCATATAAAAAGCGTCATAAAAGGCCAATCTAGTATATATTATGTTCTAAATGTTACCCCTCAAATGCTCTGGCAACCTGGAAGTATCTAAACTTTCTCTGTCCGGGCGTAGTGCAAAAAGAGCTTATATATTTATCACTATTTAACAATAACTTTGTAACGCCTAAATGTAATACTTAAAATATATAAAAAAATTATATATGCGGTTGGGGGACCTCCGTCAGGAACTAAGTTTCTAACGCCTTTTTTTAATTCCGGATGTGATTTGATATACTCGTAAAGAGTATTTTGGCATACTCCACGGTTACATATAATACTTTAGCATGGAAACTCTTAGACTTAGAAGCACGGTTAATTTAAATATATATAAATAGCAAGCAATTAACACTCATATAACATTAAACGTATGGAAACATTAAATACTTGTAACGAAATATAAAATTTTATTAACTTGTCGAGTCGTTTGTATTACAGATACTTGCTCCAGTGTCCGTTTCTTAAATCTCCATAACAAAATTGCAATAATCAGATAATGTTATTAACTTTTAATAAAATTCTTAATAATTGAAAATTGATTTTATTTAACGGAAGTATACCATCAAGCACTTTTAACTAATGAGTGACGTAAACAAGTACGACGGCCAGCGCTTGACGATAACATCCTAAATACGCTGGACGGAACCGAACATCACGTAACGCTTTTTCGTTACAATTTCTACCTGTCAACTCCTTTTTTAACGATAGGAATTGCAATAAGGCATATCAACTCAGACATAAGGTTATGTGGGACTAGCTGGCAAAGCCAGTAAGTACTACTCAGTTTTACTGAAGGAGACCACACCAACTATGGGGTTGCTCCAACATTCCTCTCTGGTATCAGAAAGTACCACCAGTAACCCGCGTGGAAAATCACCCACCAGGTGGTCTGGCAGGTAGACCGGTTGGATTGCTGGACGCTAATGAGTCCCCCCACCACGACAAAGTGAACACATATTAAGACACTCTTTACTACCGCAAGCCGAATTAAGGAACTTCATTCCAAAACACTATCTTAAAATAAAATCGGGTCAAAATATACAATTATAAGCCACAAGGCACAGGTCACGTTACAATGTTTATTTTACGTGCAAGAAACTCGGTTTTATTTTTTTAAGTTAATCCATATTCTACAAGAAAATCCACTTGCTTTGTTTTTGGACCAGCGAAGACAACTGGAATTCAGGTCCGTACGTCACCATGATCACTAAATAGCTTAAAAGGGCACCTAAAATCTGAAAAGGTAGACCATAACATACAAAATGATAAGTTATTTTAATTATAATTTTTTAGACACGGATTGAATTATTTATCACAAAATGAAAAAAAATTGTAAATACAATAAAAACAAATAATTCAAAAATTTTAGAAATTAATTAAACCCGCTAGTGTTTTCATTTGCATCATAGATTTTAAAATTTATGAATATAACATGATATATGTAATAACTCAATTTATTATATACGCGTATCTATAGGAAGATAAAATGTGAATTACTTTGAAGGTCAAATCTCTATTCATTGTGCAAATATCAAGTGGTGAGGAGGTCGTCTTCAGCAGCACCAGCTGTCGCAGGAACAGGTCCAGCTCGTTACTCAGTGCTTGACGCTCGCCGCATATACACTTAAGTTCCTGCACTAAAAAACTGGTGTTTTCCATCTGTTAAAGAAATCGATAAAAATAAAAATAATTTACTATTTAAGTTTTTTACACGTAAACCGCAAAACTGAATAAACATCACATACATATAGATTATATCTTGGAATTATATAGTATGAGTCCAAGATCCCAGGGCCACCAGACGTCACGTATTTTCTGACGAACTAAATGTGGACGAATGAGTATTGTTAGTATGTACTACGATTGTGTGCCTACCTGCTAGCTTGGTTAGACGGCCAACTTCCAGGTATCAGGTAATCAAGGTACATAAAAACATTACTTCACGTAAATTCTCCAAGCTGATTTTCTCGTATATTTTAGACAATATCGTTAAAAATAAGTCGTCAATACTCCTAGATACTTTCCGCCGTATTACTTTGAGGACGCTTTAAAGCTCCCAAAATATTTACTTAACTTCATATCAATTCTGATGCTCCATTTTTATATATGTTCGCTAGACAACTACTTTAAAACCTTTAACAAGAAGACAGACCTATCCAAGGGGCCAATCATCCCCTAAACTCAATTTTAACACCTCCTGGCGTTCAGATGTGTGTTAGTAATAAAAACATCTTCATTGCAACTCCAAAGATAGCGTTTATCATTTCCAACTAAACAAATTATGAACCAAAACCTGTAACAATATCATGACATATTCTATAAAAAGAAATTTACCTGTACATGAATACGATGAAAGGGTTCTATAAATAGTATTAGAGATGAAATATGAACGAAGCTTAATACCACTGACCTCAACAAGATATAGTTCCCATTGCCTGTAATCAAGGCACATTATTAATTTAATATAACTATTGTTATGTTCAAAATTATGTTAGCCACAAACTTAATTAATTGCGTGAAAATAAATATTACCATTCTCACCAAGCGTCATCCACACAATAACTGTAAAGAACTGTAGCTGCAGATACATCATTTGGAAGCACATAATCAAAATTATGACCAATCCTTCAGTATTAGTAGTAGAAGAAACTATTCGACAGATGTCTGCATAATAAGTAGAGAGTTCACGAACTTTTCTTTCAATTGGTTCCTTTTTATTCGATGATATATCAGCTATTAACAAGTTTATCGTTTTCAAAAACTGTATCTAAGGATTTTTATAATATAAAAATTTAATTTTAAATTAAACAAATTTATTTTAATTATGGTCATATTTTATAGAAATCAACACAGGCGAAGAAAATCACTTTTGCTTGTGTAATATTAATGTCGCATATTGGAGAGTGTGTAACGTCATTACATCAAAATACTAATTAAAAAGACACGCCTGGAGCATGCTCTATGGATCATAAGACAGTTGTCAAACCATTTTGAGAGACGCGTACAAATTACTTGAATTTAGATAAGAACAGTTAATTATAAATTGCCGTGTGTAAGAGTGAAAGAGGAACAAAACATTCGAAATGACTAGAAAGGTTTTGATTTTTTTTTTAATTTTCGAATACTAGAATGTTCTTTGTTTATGCATATGAAAAGGCCGACAGTGTTTCGAGAGATTAGTTGAATTTCGAAGTTAAGTGAATATTGCGAAGAAATACAAAAAAAGTGAAAAGCGAAGAAAAATTAAGTGAAGGTATAGTGATTCTAAGTGAAAGTAAAGTGAAAAGATAGTGAAGTGAAAGTGAATATATAAGTGAAGGTAAAGTGGTGTATCTAGTGGTGGATATTAGTGTCTAGTGACTGATTTTAACCAGATCTGTTTATATACTGCGTGTTTTAGTGAATCTCCAAAGGTCACTCTTGTTAATCAGGAGTCAACAACATCGATCGTCAAAAACATCAATAGTGCAAAAGACGTGCTTTAATTTCCGATCCCCGAACTCATAGAACGTAACATTAATTAATTAATGAGCGGATCTTTTACTAATGCTAATTTATTACGTAATACTTCTTATAAACAATCTCGTGTAAACGAGTGAACGTGTAAACTGTTTTCAACGAAACTCGACGAGGAACGAGCGTTTTTTTTCGATATAAAGAGTTTGTATATCAACTAAAAAATAAAAAAATACCAAATTTCACTAATCTGAACACTTTTAATAGATAATTAAATTGTTCTTATTAATTTAACTTCGTCCAACTATTTTGCTATGCCAGATTTTGTATTTTATCCATGTATTAGGATGTAGTGGGAATATCCTCATGGATCAAAACGAATTGTACTAGTTTAGCGATATCTAGTGCTTATTGAGCAGTTGGTGGTTGTTCAATGTTCAGGTTCATCCACTTCATCATCTTTATTGGGTTTCTTCTTAGTTTTGGACAAGATGTACCTATTTTTATATGAGCATAAACTTATATATTATAAAAAACGTCACGTAGGTTTTCAAAATAGGTGTATTTCTTTATAAAAATATGTAATACCGGTATTTTATTAATGTCTGCGTGAAATCAATCTCATCAAAATTAACTTCATTAGCCTTTATATAATTGACACATTTTGATGTCGTCCAGGCAGCTCTCGGTTTTTTAGGGTAAACGAGTATATTATCATCTTTACTTGTCATACTTAAATTGTTCTTGATATGATGTAAATGTTTGTTTATCGATTTGAGAGTTTCCAGAATTCTTGCAACAAAAGCCACTAGTTGCAATTTTATAAAGCTTAGTACGATGCCTTTGATGTTGCTCATCAAATATTTTATCCTTAAACATATGTACAAGAATAAATGTTTGGTGAATTATATTCGAACATACATAAAATAACATATCAAATAGCATCCAGAAGTATACAGCATGAATAAGTTCCATTAGTCGAATAGCTGTATAGAAAGATAAAACGAACATTGTGTATCTGTCCCTGTACCTTTTATTTGATGGGGTTATTTTTTAATCGACCTAGAAATCGGTGAAAGAAAAATATATTAGGGACGCCACAAAAAATGTGTAACATAAGTATCAACAATATATACATATAATAAGTAGTGGACTTAAGTTACTTAAGTTTCTCAAAAATATAATATGTCAAAATTTTTTGATGATGTGTAATGAAAAAGGTGGAAAAATAATATTATTTGAATTCTTCATGATTGAGAAATATTATACGTTTATAAAGAATATATTTTCACCCTCTTTAATTTCATCTGTTTAATTCCCTCCTCAATTTCTAAACTCTTTAATTCCTTTTCAGGATGTTTATCTATGTAGAATATAGTGTCGGATGTAAATTTTAAGATAATTTGAACAATTTAAACACGGTTTGGTTTTCGTAAATAAAGAAGTTATTACTCATTGATGGAAACGACTTATTAGTCGATATAATGGTTATTCATAATAGTCATTATTGTTTATCTTAAATATTTTTAAGAACTGTTCAGGGTGATTTTTAATTAACTGAAGACCTTTTGGGAATATACTATGTATTTACATCATAACAGCAACATCTGTAAGAAAAAAATCTTAAATTTTCATTTTCATACAAAAATAAACATATTTTTATTGCACCTTCTAAACGGTAATACTCCTAGCATCTGGTCATGTTTAAATAAGTAAGCGCCGCCTCGTACTCCGCCGGCCACGCGCTTTCTTTTGCTAATGCTGGACTATTACCGTTTAGAAGGTGCAATAAAAATATTTCTATTTTTGTTAAATTTAACAATTTTTTTTCTTACACATGTTGTTATAATGTAAATAGTATGTTCCCAAAAGGTTTTCAGTAAATTAAAAATGACCCTGTAGCAAGTAGGGTCACTATAAACTCAGCCAAACTTGTCGTCAATTTTTAAGCAAAAACGTCAAAAATTTTAAGTAACTGAAAGCAAGGGATATTTAATTTGACTGTTTTATATTTTTGTTAGCTATAGTATATTATGTAAAAATAGATACTATGCTCTGATCATTATTTTAACACCTGGGTTTCTTTCCCACTTACTTACAAAATAACTTTCAAGTCACTTCTATCAAAAATTATAAGGAACAAAATTTGATAGACAAATACTGATACATGCGCCGAATCACAAAAATCTAAATACAGTAAGATTATTATTTCAAGTACGATATGACTTATGAGGCAAAGATAATAATAGTTGAGAGATGAGATGACATAATAAATATATCGAAGCAACATTAATTTTCTCTATTATTTTCCATTATTTTATCATGAATTATACAGTGGGCGTTATATGGGAAGTGTTGGTTCAAATGAAAGTCGATGCAATCACAGTTGTATTTCAAATTAACAATAATCACTTTGTACATAGTTACACAGCACTTCACTACACAACCATATAGCAAGCACTTCACTTCACTATTACCACGTATAGACAATACGGAACGCAAGACAGTTCCTAGTGGAGCGGTCCTAAGCTTGGCTCGGCTCGAAGGCAAGTGTCCAGCCCTCTTAGCACCCCTCCCTTAGCTAGGCTCCGTCGTAGCACGAAGCTCGCCGAGTGTTGGCGATAATACCGAAGGTGCTGCCATCACTCAGGCGTCGTGCCGCGCTTCGTTTAGCGACCGTATTGATGACCGTCTCCGACACGGCCATCCTGCGTGCACACGCCCTCGTGTGTTAGCCGTGTGTTAGCCTGCAACCAAATAATCAACGAAAATACTTGCTCGACTCGGTCAATCCTGACCAGATAAAACTTAACTTTGAATCTGACGAAAAGCTTTAACGCTAACACCTTTGTTTTTTTTTTAAACTCCAAGTCACTATTTATCTCTAATCTAACTAATAACATTAGTCATCCAGAGCCATGTACCAACATCATTCAACACTTCAGTAATCAAACTAATTTTCAAATTTACTAGCACCTCTGTAAACCACTCTTAGGCCACGGCTTTACAAGCCAACCAGCAATCACAATTGCTCCACAATCCAGGTGCATCCACTACGGGATCACCGTATGTATCATCCTCTCGATGACTACACACTATGGTCATAACAGACCCCGACCTCCGCCAGAACTAAACGCACATCACACACCCACGGTCTATTTAGTTTGAGCTTCCTCAAAAGACCGACTTTTACTAGGCTATGACTACGTAATAGTTACTAGTACGGTCGACACATCCACTACAGGATCACCGTATCACCCTCTCGGTGACTACACACTATGGTCATAACAGACCCCGACCTCCGCCAGAACTAAACGCACATCACACACCCACGGTCTATTTAGTTTGAGCTTCCTCAAAAGACCGACTTTTACCAGGCTATGACTACGTAATAGTTACTAGTACGGTCGACACTACTACGGCCGTCAGAATGCTTACATCGGTTTCCATCGACTTCATTAAAACATTTGCTTGGCATGATGATCATTATTTACATCAACCTCTATTGGTACATGACCTACTAGAATTTTTGTGTAAAGAATTTATAGCCGTCATGTTAATAGAAAACCTTTCAATATCTCATGTTCTATCATGATACCATTTTGTAACTAATAATTAGGCAAAACATGATATTTCAAAAGATTTCAAGAGAATTACCGTTAATTGTTACAAAACAAATTTTACTGTATGCGGAATAGTCTGTTTTGATCAATACTAGAAATTGCAAGGACAAAATCGTTAACTACACAATTTGACTGCTAAATGTTATCTTACTAACGAATATTCAGCATCATGATCATAACAAAAGCAATACAGATTACCTCTATGCCATTGAGCATTCGAAGATGGTTGTACAACACATACATCCACGCGTCGTTCCCTTTGTGTTGCACCCATATTGCTGCCGTCCACTTGACTGGCACTACTTATGCACCGGAGCGTTATGTGACCAGGCTTGCCACATTTGAAGCACACCAGAGACTTCACTGCAGGCTG